TGCAAGCATGCACCACCATGCACAGGCTTTCATCTTGGTTGTGGCTACTACATCCAGTCAAAATGCCCTATAGATTGGGTTGCAGATTTTTAGACCACCCTACCCCGATGCCAGAGGCTGGTGGTCTTGTTTCTGTATTATTTTTCACTGTGCTCTCTGCCACCATGCAGGATGCCAAGTCTCCATAAACCCTATCAGGGTTCACTGTAGGGGCCGCGGCTGGGCTGGCTGCCTTTTGTTCAACTGCAGCATCCTTGGATTCAACCTCTTCCTCTTCACTGATCCCTAAAGGGCAGAAGCAGTTACAGGTCAGGCCATCTGGGTCCAGGTTAGGAGGAGCTAGATAAGAACTCCTTCTCGGCTGCCTTTTCTGTCTCCCCTACTGGCTGACCTCTGTGCACTTCGTATGCACACAGAATCTGCAAGGACCGAACCAACCTCCTGATCTCCCTGAGGATGCACAGGGAGAGCCTAGAGTCAGTGTTTCACTGTGTAGTTCAGGCTTTGCTTTGAACACAGAGATCCATCTGCCTTTGCCTCCAGTGTCACAATTCCTGGACAAAAGTAAATAAGAAAGCTTAAAAAACAAATAAATTGGGCCGGGCGTTGGTGGCGCATGCCTTTAATCCTAGCACTTGGGAGGCAGAGGCAGGTGGATCTCTGTGAGTTCGAGGCCAGCCTGGTCTACGAGAGCTAGTTCCAGGACAGCCTCCAAAGCCACAGAGAAACCCTGTCTCAAAAAAATAAAACAAAAAAAAAATAAATTGAAGGGCTGGAGAGCCAGTGAAGCGTACACTCTGCTCTTGTAGAGAGTGAGTTCAAGTATGATGGCTCGCAACTGCGTCTGACTCCAGCTCCAATGGGTCTGACTTCCTCTTCCTGCCTCTGTGGGAACTGCACTCACATTCACAAACACATGCGGCTGCAGCTAGGCCTGGTGGTGCACGCCTTTAATCCCATCACATGGGAGGCAGAGGCAGGTGTATCTCTGAGTTTGAGGCCAGCCTGGACTACAGAGTGAGCTCCAAAACAGCCAGGGCTACACAGTGAAACTCTTGTCTTGAAAAACCAAAATGATGATGATAATTAATAAATAATAAATAATCTGGGTGTGGTGTAATACACCTTTAATCCTAGCAAACAAGGAGTCAGAGGCAGGTGGATCTGTACGAGTTCAAGGCCAGCCAGGGATACATAGATCAACCCCATCCCTCCCAACATTAGTTAAGATAAATACATTTGATGTGGTGATGGTTTTATACCTGAATACACTATAACAGGGACTAAACACCTTGACAGATGAATTGGGGAGACCCATGAGTTATATTTCATATACAGCTGTTAACCAAAGCAAGGATGACAATCTCATGTGAACCAGAGGCCAGATTTCACTCCCCTGTCCCTGAAATTACCAGGTCCTGGGGAGGCTAACCAGCCCCGGCGGTGGTTTGCCAAATGTGTCTTGGGAAGTCGGGGGATGACCGGGATGTCCTCCATGGTCACCTCCTCCACATCTGAATCTGAGCTGTCTGGGAGCCAGCATAGATGGTGGACAACAGGGCCATTGCCCCGAGTGTATACTAGAGAAAAAAAGTTTCAGATTTAGATCCCTTTGGTGCAAGAACAGGTGGCTCTGGACCAGACCCCAATGTCAGGAGGAGAAGAGTGGGATGCTGAACTTCTAGTTACCTGTTCCTCTGGGTGACAGTAGGGGAGCCTGCTCGCCACTACCGTCTCCGACATAGCTCATGGTGACCAGGGCACTGTGGGCCCCAGAGGGCAGATGTGCCTGTGGTACAGTCTCCTGGAGGAAAGGGCTCCCACCGCCTGGGAGGAAGTGCAGAGGGGCCTATTTAAAAAGCTCTACCTAGCAAGGCAGGAGGATTGCCTCAACTCCTGCACTGCATAACAAGTTCCAGGACAGCCTGTGCTACAGCGTGAGACACATAGTCCCCAAAATCCCAAACAAGACTCAGTAGTGAGGTACTCGACTGAGTGCATGTCACACTAGGTTTCGATGCTTAGTATCACAAAAAGAAAACAACGTGAAACTCTGCCCTGCTGGGAAGCTGCAGAACTATCTTTGGGCAGTCCAGGTCCCCTCAGACGACCAGGTTCTGACAAACCCAGGCACCAGTTGCTCTAAACTGCCTGGGAACTGTCACAGGACTGGGTAATCTCAAGGGCCCAGCTTTATTGGAATAGCTCCTAAGAAAACCACAGCCCAATCAGTTCTCTGCCCAGGGATCCCCTAGGCCCCATTCCTGTTCCCTCATAAAACCCCAACTCCAGTCCCACCCCTACCCCTACCATAAACTCCATGCTCTGATGCAATTAGGCTCCACCAGTCCAATTAGGACATTTTGTGACATCTATAGGTCAGTCCTTCAAGCAGCCAGCACCATCCACCAAGTTCCTGCCCCGGGCTCCACCCTCCATGTTTACTAGGTTGACCCCCACCCCAGCACCCATAAATCCCTTCCACCAGACCGAGTCCCCAGCCGCTGTCACTCTGGAAGCGATCGTCCCCACGCCTTGGTCGCCGGTGCCTCAGGGAAGCATCAGGATTGGCCTGAACCATGAGGGGCTCCTGGCGCTTCCTGCGCTGCTTCTTCTCAAATAGCTGTCGCTGCGTAAGCAAGAGGAGTGTGTGGTGGGGACAGAAACCAGACAGGTGGACAGGGGAGGCTGGCCTACAAGAGTCCAGGTACTCTTCCTCTGTTGGGGGTCCCAGACTCCTGTCAGATCGGGCCCACCTCCACCGTCTCCTCTAAGAACTAGGAGGCCAGTCCTCTAGAACTTCTGTTCCTTAAAATTTCCTCAGCTTGGACTGCCATCTGGGCAGGGGCATGAGGATTGTGTTTTCCAAGCCTTCCTAGACAATTGGGGGAGACCCTGTTTCACGACACAAATGTGAGGGTACACAGACTCACATCTGTAGTAAGTCCAGGTCAGCCCAGGGTGCAGAGTGACAATTAGGACCCGAGAGATGGCTCAGTGAGTAAAGGTGCCATTCCATCAGCCCTGACAACCTGAGTTCCAGCCCTCGACCTACACTGTCAAAGGAGAAAACCTGCTCCTGCAAGTTGTCTCCACACACGTCATGCCGTGTGTGTCCTCTACCCCCAAATAAATGTAATTTTCAAAACAACAATCAAAATGGAGCTCGGTGGCTCACAACTGTAATTCTGGGCTAGGCAGCAAGGCCCTGTTTCAAAATGAGGCTGCACTCCTACTTTCTCTTTTCCTAACTCCAGAACCGAAGTTCAGAGAAAAGCACCATAGCACCGAGGTCTCCGAGCCACGGTCTGGGGAGGCTGGGGAGATGAAGGAATGGGTTCTGGATCACACCTGTTGTTCCAGCTTCTGCAGCCTCACACCAGAGACTTCATCTTCCAAGGTCCTACGAGAAACACAGGCTGGTGACCAAAGCCAGCAGAGCAGCCCCTCCCCTTGACCAACCTAGGTACTGAGCTCCAGTGATGTCATAGTAGGTGCGGGGCCTGAGATTTCCAGGTCATTTATGACGCTCTTTCTCCCAGCTCCTCCCCCGTTAGGACCTAGGCAGAGACCCCCAGGCTAGCTATCCTGGAAGACTCAGGGGTCCAGGTCCCAAGCCCCTTCCTCTGGGAGACCTAAGCATCTTCACTGGTACCCCTTTAAAGGACACAGGAGTCCAGGGCCCCAGCGCCTTCCCACAGAGTTGACGGTGGTGAGCCCGAAGACCAAGTTGAGCCCAAAGCTGTGCGTATCCCTATGGTGCGCATCTACGTGGTCCCTCTACCAGCCTCGCTGCCCGTTAGGTTTCCCCACTCACTCTTTCTTCCACGGTTCATTTTCCTGAGACGTTCTAGAGGATTAGGAAGGCATAATCAAGATCTAGATCCTACGTCTTAATAGAGGCCACCCTCCAGTCCCCGGTATCTGCCTTCCGTTTTCTTTTGAACCCTAACAACCCAAATCCCAGTTCCCGCCTGAAACTTATTAGCCTGTGTCGAGCTTTAAGCCCTACTGGGAGCACAGAAATCCCGTTCTCTACCAAGTACTGAGGCCTGTCCTGCTTCTAAGTACTGGGACTCGGGATTCGATCACAAATCCCAAACCTTCAGCATCCACCCGACTGGAGTCCCAGAGGCGCCCACCCATCCCTAGCGCCAGCTCCGATCTCACGGCTTCCCCGCGACGCTGGAACGCTAAACTCAGCCGGACACTTTCTCGGAAAAGGGGTTCCCACAGGGACTTGCCGTCTTCTCGGCCCTCTAGGCCCCTCACGGTCCATGTCCAACAGAGTAATGCCTCCAGGCCACTGAAGCGGGCAGATCCCTTGTTCTGGGAGTTCTGAATTGGAACCACAAGTCAACGTTCCTTAAAGGGACCAAGAGTATCTATCTGCCTAGCGATACAGTTCTACATATAGAGCATTTAAGAAATCTGGAAGGTCAAGGTTTAAGGCTCATGCCTGTGACTCCAGCACTTGGGAGGAGACAAGACTTTCGGGAAATCAGTCGGGCGGAGAGGGCGCACGACTTCAATCCCAGCCCTAGGAAGGCAGAGACAGGCGAGATCTCTGAGTTAGATGACAGCCTGGCCTACAGAGTGACTTCCAGGACAGCCAGAGCTGTTACACAGAGAAATCTTGTCTGGAAAAAAAAAAAAAAAGAGGTGCTGGTATTTTAAACTAAGCAGTTGGGAGTCAGAAGCAGGAGGATCTCTATGACCTTGAGGCCAGCCTGGTCTACATGGAGTTCCAGTCAGGGTTACATAGTGAGACCCTGTCTAAAAAATAATGACAGTATACTATACAGTTGCGTACCACTAAGGTTCTAATTTGTAGGAACTTGCGGGGCAAAAATAAATGAGGAAACTACAATTCCCAGGAGACAGAGCGGCAAGATGTCCGCAAAAGTTGCCCCACCCCCACCCCTGCAAGCAGTGCATTGACTTTTATTTGAAAACGACGCAGGAAATGTCACGTTGAAGAATGTGAGTTTCCAAGAAAGCAGGAGAGATTTTCGAAAGCAAGGGAACCTCATCGGAAACGGGCGGGACCGCTAACGCGGGCGGAAGCTCGGAGCCAGCGTGGACCAATCAGTATTCTGGGGGCGGGTCCTCTGCGGGTGGAAAAGTGGGAGTGACTTAGGAGGGAAATCTCCAGAAGCCAGACGGAGGTCCCAGCGTGGGAAAACGCCCTCTGCGCCAGGAGAGGTGAGGGGCATTCGGTAGGGGAGAGCCGAGGGCTGGAGCTCCGGGTACTTGCAGGGTTTCAGGTCTCGGTGGTCCCGCGAGAAGGAGAGGCTATCGGGGCCTGGGATCTCAATCCAGGGCAGAATTCCCTACTTTAGGGAAGCCGGGATGAGGATTGCGGGACTGGTCTGTAGGAAGGGGAGGCTGGAGGCCTGGCATCCTGGGTCTTCATTTTTGCAAATGGGGACGGCCCTGCGGATGGCGTACACAGGGCTTGGGACATTCTTAGCCTGGGTTTTGCGCCGGGAGGGAGAGGCAGGGGGAATCAGGAATTCAAAGCCAACCTGGGCTACTTAACGCGTGTCTCAAAAAAACCATTCTCCGTCTCCACTCACAGGCCAGCCACGATGCCCACCCCTGTGCCCCGCGGGGCCCCTCTCCTTCTCCCACCTCTACTGATGCTGTCAGTTGTGCTGGCAGTGCCCCTGGACCGCGGGGCACCTCATCAGGAGGACAGCCAGGCCACTGAGAGCCCGGTGAGTAGCCTGCCTGCGCTCCGCGTGTTTGCAGTAGCGCAGGGCTTGCCGTCCGCAGGGCCCTGGTGAAAGCTCCAGGGATCCCCTTTTAGCACGCAAAGACTTGTGGTTTACCTGCCTTCCTTTGCAGTAGTGTGTTAGTGAAGCAAACAAGCAGACCTGCCCCCCAGCAACCCAACGCCTGCCTCACCTAAGCGTCTCTAATCCCCCCCCCCCCCCCAGGGTTTCTCTGTATTGCTTTGGAGCCTGTCCTGGAACTCTGTAGACCAGGCGGGCCTCAAACTCACAGAGATCCGCCTGCCTCTGCCTCCCAAGTGCTGGGATTAAAGGCTTGCACCACCACTGCCCGTCGCCTCTCAGATCTTTAAAATCCTGCTTAACCAGGAATGTAGACAATCAAAAGAAAAACTACATTTCCCAGTAGCACCATAGGCAGTTGGATGCTACTACCTAACTGGGGCATTCCTGTGTCGCAGAGCTCATGGGAGGTGTAGTTTAAATGGGAAAAGGAAATGGGAACTACTGATTTACTCTTTTCAACAAATGTGCATTCAGCCCTGTGAAACCTTTCTTCTTAGGAGAGTTGGAACTTTCAAAGTCGGGGCACCTGTTTATGGTCAAGCTCTCCCTGTCGCTTTGCCTGGCAATGTAAGCCGTTGCTACCCCCCGAGACAGGTGGCTCCAAGCTCCTGTGTGCCATGGCCTCCTGTAAGGTGTACATTTTGTGAAATCTTGAATTCCATTTTGTTAGAGTTTCAGAGAAAGATAATAGGACTAATCGGACAGTCTTGGCAGGTCCCAGGAAGAGGGTTCGTGGAAGAGAAAGCAAAGCCAGGCTTTTTGGGATAGGGTGGAGGAGAGCAGACGGGTCGGGTACTGTAGGTCTTAAGCGGCTGTCTACACAGGAGGGCTTCTGGGAAGCGGAGTGTTCTGAGGGTTGGGACAAGCACGCTGAGGATTTGCTGATACCCAGAGAAGGGAGGGAAGGAAATGTTATGCTTTTGAATGAGAATTCTGAAAGGTGCAGGTTCAGCAGTGAAGACCAGCCAACAGCTGCAGCGAGGGAGGAGCGTCTGGCCTGGAAACACATTTACTTCATTAAGGAAATGGCCTCGACTTCTCCTGTCCTTCAGCATGTCTTGAGGTGAATCAGCCTTCTTGAGCAGTGGGCACTTAGTCAAGTGACTGACAATATTGATGGATGGACTCCTCCCCCTCCTTGCAAGACAGGGTCTCTCTATGTAGCTCTGGTTGTCCTGGAACTCACTCTGTAGACCAGGCTGGCCTAGAACTCACAGAGATCCACCTGCCTCTGCCTCCTGAGTGCTTGGGACTAAAGGCATGCCCCACTAACGCCCAGCTTGGATGGACTCTTAAGGGAGGGGACACTAGTACTCTACAATGTTTTGGGCTGTTTAGAATGAATCCAGACTCTATTCTTTGGACAGGAGGAGGTAGCTTCCCTTCAACGGGCCTCAACAAAGCCTGGCTATCCCCAGGCCTCCCTTTCACACGGTACTCTAAATTTTAAGGATGTGTAAGCTGCTTATGAAGGGGGGTGATCTTCAGGGACCCCTAAACCTGCTTGTGCCTTCTAGCATTCCCACATCGAGAGTTGAGACCCTACAACCATTTAGATTTTAGCGTTTATGCTTTTAGGTTAAGGTTGAGTAGCTCTGACTTACAGTTGAAGTGTGTCCATTCACGGTGACTTCCAGGCCTTGGAATAAGATCAAAGGAATGCATTAGACTGTCATAGAGTCATCTGAAGGTAGACCACCTGTAAAGGACAGGAGACAAAGTTAGATAGCAATCTGGTGCCCTCTTCCGGCATTTAGGCAGTAACACTGTATATGTAATGAATAAATCTTTAAAAAAAATTTAAATGTGTATAAAGTGTTCTGTCTGCATATATCCCTGAAGACCAGAAGAGGGCACCAGATCTCATTACAGGTGGTTGTGAGCCACCCTGTGGTTGCTGGGAATTGAACTCAGAACCTCTGGAAGAGCAGCTAGTGTTCTTAACCACTGAGCTATCTCTCTAAGCCTATTGGCCTTTTTTTTTTTTTTTTTTTTTTTTTGAGACAGGGTTTCTCTGTATTGTTTTGGAGCCTGTCCTGGAACTCGCTCTGTAGACCAGGCTGCCTCGAACTCACAGAGATCCGCCTGCCTCTGCCTCCCGAGTGCTGGGATTAAAGGCGTGCACTACCAATGCCTGGCTCATGGCCATTCTTTTTAATAACTGGCTTAAATTTCCTGGAAATGTTGTTTAAAGGCCAAATTCACTTTTTTAAAATGTACGTGTTTTGTGTGTGTGTGTGTGTGTGTGTGTGTGTGTGTGTGTGTACATGTATACAATGGTGTGGGTGTGGAGGTCGGAAGACAGGAGGACAGCTCTGTGGAGTTGATTTCCTCCTATGCCATGAGGGTCTCAGGGATAGAACTCAGCGTCTCAAGCTTGGCAGCACTGCCATTACCTGCTGAGCCATCTCAACGGCTCCACTGGTTGCTTTGTTTTGTTTTATTTGTTTGGTTGTTTGTCTGAGCGGGTTTCTCTCCGTGCCTCTGGCTGTCCTCTAACCACTATGTAGGACAAGTTGTCCGGACTGAGGGGTGAGGACCCACTAGTTGCTTTGGTTCCTGAGGATCAAGGCTTTTTGTTTTTTTAGATTTATTTTATTCGTGTGTCTTGTACACCACGTTCGTGCTGGTGCCTGTGGAAGTGGTGAGTCTCCATGTGGGTGCTGCTCTCCAGTTCCTCACAGGAACAAGCACTCTTAACCACAGAGCCAACTCTAGCCCCCGAGCAAAACAAAACAAAACATCACAAAGGTAAACTGGGCATCATAGCACAGCCTGGAATCCCACATCTTGGGAGGCAGAGGCAGGCAGATCCTGAAGATGGAGTTTCTATTCCGCCTAGTCCTGCTGCTCTGCAGGTCCCAAATAAACACACTGAGGCTTATGTTCATCATAAACTGTTTGGCCGATGGCTCAGGCTTCTTACTGACTAGCTCTCTCTTAATTATTAACCCATTTCTATTAATCTATTACCTGGACATGGTCTTCCCTTACCGGATAATGCCCAGGCATCCTACCTTCCCCATGGCGGAAGTCTCTGGTGGAATCCCTCTGCATCCTCTCCCCAGAATTCTCCTCCTTACTGCCTGGCTACTGGCCAATCAGTGTTTTATTCATCAACCAATAAAAGAAACATATAGCCGGGTGGTGGTGGCGCAAGCCTTTAATCCCAGCACTCGGAAGGCAGAGGCAGGCTGATCTCTGTGAGTTTGAGGCCCGGCAGGACTGACAGCCTCCAAAACAATACAGAGAAACCCTGTCTCTTAAAACCAAAAAAAAGAGAGAGAGAGAGAAACATATATTCACAGCATTCAGAAGGACATCCCCCCATCATCTCCTCCTTTCTGTCTAAAAAGAAAGATTTTAACTTTAACATAGTAAAATTATATATAACAAAACCGTTATCAAGCAAGAATTATAATTAGAATATTTATTCCATTAACATTTGGCAAAATTTAAAGAAAATATTCTATAATCTATCCTATTTTTGTGAGTCTAAAGTTTTATGTGTAACTTCTCTTTCATCATAACTAAGGAAAACCATAACTGCAACTATCTGTCTTCAACTCTATCAGAGACCTCAGAAGGATAATATATAAATTCTAGAATTAACAGAGACATCTCACTGCCTAGATAGTCACCCACAGTTCCTCTGTAACGTAGGTCCATCTTTAACCCATAGGCCATAGTGTCTGGCAGACTTTTTAGCGAAGCAGGAAATTTGAAACTGTCTCACCTGCATTGGCAGTTTGTCAGTCATTTTTCTCTGTGTCCTGCTGAATGTCTGACAGACTCTTCCATGAAGCAGGAACCCTGAAAGACTGTCCCAATTCAGCAGTTATTTTCCAGTTTATACAGCATAACAGTCCAGGCAAGAGCAGTGTTTTGCCCAAATGGCTAGTCTTGCCGTGTTCAAGGCAAACTCCATATAGAATTTCTTCAATGCCCGTCTTCCCCTCTGATGTAATTGGTGTTGCCAGGAGCACTTGCATCTCTTCATCGTGAAAAGCCCCCAATAAACCATTTTAATGCCATATTCTGAAGGTCTTTGAAAGGCTTTGGAGGATACCTATTCATTTGAAATATTTCTCTATATATCTAAAAAATCTAACTAGCGTGGTTTTGACTATTATAGGTGACTATCTATAATCTGTAATTGTATATTACTTTTTTTTTTTTTTTGGTTTTTCTAGATAGGGTTTCTCTGTCCTGGAACTCCCTCTGTAGACCAGGCTGGCTTTGAACTCACAGAGATCCATCTGCCTCTGCCTCCCATGTGCTGGGATTAAAGGCATGAGCCACCGATGCCCGGCTATATATTACATTTTTAAATGAGTTGTATAAACACAATACAAGAGTAGAAATACACATATAACAAAATTAACCTTAAATTTGTATCAATAAACCAAAATCCATACCAATCCAAAGTGTTCATTTCTATATCATTCTTTCTTTTCTTTAGAAAGAGATTGACTGTAATTATTTGTTTTGTTTTGGTTTTTTTGTTTTTTTTCGAGACAGGGTTTCTCTGTATTGTTTTGGAGGTTGTCTGATTGACTGTAATTATTAACTATTTATAACCAGCCCCATTTAAGTGAAAACAAACATAAGCAATATTTGGGAATTCAGATATAGTTCTTTCCAGACTGTTTGGAAGCACTATCAATCCCATGGGGATCCTGAGAAAACCTGGCTAAATCCTGGCTGTAGCAGTCTAAGCTGCATCGTTTCAGCTGTTTTGGATGGTAATCTCCCGAGCCAGTGGCTGCTTCAGGGGGTCTTGCTTGATCAAACCATACTAGTCTGGAAGGAATCCACAGTTTTTCATTTTCTATGGAAACAAAAGCAGAACCTCTTTTCCAAATTAACATGTTCTTAGACTTTAAGTCAAGGCATTTTCAACACGTACAAGTTGGATTAATGTAGCATCGTTTGTAGTCTGTTAACAGCTGTTTCTCCTTCCTCGGCAGTGAAACAACTCAAAGACAGCAGAGTAACATACAGCATCCAGACTCTGTGCATTTCCATCTTTACGTGGCTTTTTAAAAATGGCTCTGTTTCGCAGGCGGATCTCTGTGAGTTCGAGGCCACCTGGTCTACAGAGTGAGTTCCAGGACAGCCTCCAAAGCCACAGAGAAACCCTGTCTCAAAAAAACAAAAAAAAATTGCTCTATTTCTTTCTTTCTTTCTTTTTTTTTTTTTTTGAACTTACTCTGTAGACCTGGCTGGCCTTGAACTTACAGAGATCCCCCTGCCTCTGCCTCCCAAGTGCTGGGATCAAAGGTGTGCACCACCATGCCTAGCCACTCTTTCTTTTTTAATGACTTTGTCTTTTTTCTTTTCTCTCCCAAGTCTATGTATATTAAACTCACTGTAAACTGTTTAAGGTTTTGTTTCTCTGAATCTGTCTTTACTGTCTGTCTCCATCGTTTTCTGACCCCATGAGTCTTTAATCTGCTAAACAGCATGGCTAAGATTAAAGTGGTGACTGGCCCCAACCAGTTAGGCTGCAGCTCAGTGGGGGTGCATTTACCGCCAGCCCTGGGAGCTGTGCTCACTGCCTTGACTCTGGTCTATGCCTCCATCAGGTAGCTTGTAGCGCACTGCCCAAACCCTTTTATTCTGTATGAGTAAAAGTTAAATCTGCCATGCAGCATGCTCTGCGGCTTGGAGACTGGCGGGTATCCACCATGCTGTTCAAGCCCGAATGCCACAGTGTCTTTGCACGTGGCCTGCGCAGCCCAGCTCCTTTCTGTGTTCAGAACCCTTTATAAGCTTTTTCAGGTTTTCCGTGAAAACTCCTGCCACCACGTTGGGTGACATTTGATGACAGTCTCTGTTCCTCCTGGTCCTGCCAGTTTGAGACCAGCCTGGCCTACATAGTGAGCTTCAGAACATCCAGAACTATGTAAAGAGACCCTGTCTCAAATAAAATACACAAGACATAATAAAGATAGGATTGCCGTCTCATATTGCATTAATTTCCTCCCTGTAAGGATCTGGAGTGACTGAAAAGGAACCCAGAAGGGCCGGGCGTTGGTGGCGCACGCCTTTAATCCCAGCACTCGGGAGGCAGAGGCAGGCGGATCTCTGTGAGTTCGAGGCCAGCCTGGTCTACAGAGCGAGTTCCAGGACAGCCTCCAAAGCCACAGAGAAACCCTGTCTCGAAAAACCAAAAAAAAAAAGGAACCCAGAAGGGAAAAGAATTACTCAGGACACGACGTGTTGAAAGTGCATGGTCTTCGGGAAACTTACAGGATCCGGTTGGTCCATGATGTAAAATAAGCACCTTAAAACCCCCATGGGTGCTGGGTGGTGGTGGTGCACACCTTTAATCTCAGCACTCATGGAGAGGCAGAGACTGCTGGATCTCTGAGTTCAAGGCCAGCCTGGTCTACAGAGTGAGTTCCAAGACAGCCAGGGCTGTTACACACAGAAACCCTATCTTGAAAAACAAAACAAGCAGAAAAACACAATGGGGTCCTTATCACAGGGAAATAACAGAGATACCCAGAAAGTGCTGCCTGAGAATAGCCACCCGTTTTTAATAAGAGAGCCCCTCAGTTAAGGGACTGAAGGTGTGCGCCACTGTGCCCAGCTGTTTATTGATCTCCTGTCTGTGTCTGCATGTGGCATGTTCGTGTTAGTGTAGGTGCTCAAGGAAGCTCAAAGAGGGCATTGGATGCTGGAGCTGGCGCTGTAGGCAGTTGTGCGGGCGAGCGTGGGCGCTCTGCTGGGGTAGTGTGTGCTCTTGATGGCTGAGCCGGCTCCAGCCCCGAAGGCTGCGCTGAGGGCAGCCGCTGCGCTGAGGGACTTTTGCAAACACAGTAAGGCACAGTTGAGTCCCGTTTCCGTTATTTCCAGTCCTGATGATCTTCATTGTTTTGTGTGGAGTGTTGTGGTTGTTTTAAAGAAGAGCTCACCCTGTAGCCCAGGCTGGGCTTGAACTTGAAGCAGTCCTTCTGCCTCAGGCCCCTAGTGCTGAGATCGCAAGTGGGTACTACCAAACCTGGCTCTCCCTGTGATAGTCTTTTCCTTTCGTGTGTGTGTGTGTGTGTGTGTGTGTGTGTGTGTGTGTGTGTGTGTGTGTGTGTGTTTCCAGGTTTGTGTGCATGTTTGTGTGTACTGGTGTATATGTACATGCCCAGGAAGGTCAGAGGTCAGCTGCCTTGTTTTGAGACAAAGTGTGTTTTCTTGGACCTGGAATTCTCAAAGAAGGCTGGGCTGCGGGTGCAGTGTGCCCCCAGTCATGCCCCTACCTCAGCTCCACAGCCGGCAATGCACTGACATACTTGGTTTTCCTTGTGAGCTTTATTTTTACTATTTTCTAAACCTTTTATAATTTTTTTGTGTGTATGTGTGTGGTTTATGTCACGTGTAGGTGCTTGCAGAGGCCAGAAGAGAGCATCAGGTCCCCTGCAGCAGGAGTTACAGATGGTGTGAGCCACCGGATTTGGGTGCCGGGGACTGAACTTGGGTCCTCTGCTCGAGCAGCAAGTACTTTTAACCCTGAGCTGTCTCTAGCCGGGCGTTGGTGGCGCACACCTTTAATCCCAGCACTTGGAAGGCAGAGGCAGGCGGATCTCTGAGTTCAAGGCCAGCCTGGTCTACAAAGCTACACAAAGAAACCCTGTCTTAAAAAAAAAGAAAAGAAAACCTGAGCTGTCTCTCCAGTTCATGCTTGGCAGTTTTTTCAAGTGGATTCTTGGACTCTAACTCAAATGCTCATGTGAGAAGCACTGTACCCCTTAATCATCTCTGCGGCTCCCCCATATTTCATTTCTTGAGTGCCATGGAACCTTCCAGGAGGTGAACACTGGCAGGAGATGGGGTTGGAACTGAGTCTGGCTCTGGAGTAAAGCAGGCCTCCTGTTGTGTGGGGAGGCTATGTCATCTGCAGCCTAGGAGCTGAGCTGTGGTCCTGGCTGAGGGATGTGGTCCTGGCTGAGGGAGGAAGCTCAGAGGGTAAGGCGGTGTTGCTATGTTTGCCCCTGCTCCCCAGGACACAGGCCTATACTACCACCGGTACCTCCAGGAGGTCATCAATGTGCTAGAGACAGATGGACACTTCCGTGAGAAACTGCAGGCTGCCAACGCTGAGGACATCAAGGTGCGGGCCAGGGGGAGGGTGTGCTCAGTCACAGCTGGGAGAGGTCTGGGAGCCCCAAAGATGCTCGTTCCCTGGGGTCTCTGGGAGAGTAGATGCATTTAAACCTAGACTTGAGCTCTCAGCTCTAGTACTTGCCAGCTGTGGAACCTCAGTTTACTGTGCCTCAGTTTCCCATCTGTTATGAGGTAGCCCTGGTACCCCTTGAGTTCTTATGGTTCTTATCTGCCTCGTCTGATTGGCTTCTGTCTTAAGCTATTTTCTTGCATGGCTGTAACAAACTACTTGCCAAAAGCAACTTAAGGAAGAATTTATCCTTGTCCACGTCACAGACATTGGGAGTGTGAGGCAGCCTCTATGTTGTATCCACATTCAAAGAGAAGCATGTGTGTTGCTTTTTACTCAGCTCTGGAGCCTGGCTCGTGGGATAATGCCCCTACCAGTTAGGAGGGTCTTCCCACTTTACTGAAGGCCGTTTAGACACTCCCTCTTAGACATGCTCAAATGGTTGTCGTCTAGATAATTCTAGGTTTTGTCAAGTGGACAGTCTTGAGCATACCAGATGGCACGTCGGTGCCTCTGGGTGGTTGCTGGCAGCTCCTTGGGACTGACGGACAGGCAGTGTTGCAGGGACTTGTACCTAGCAGAGACATTGCGGCCTTGGAGTGCCGTGAACATGAGCGGCCAGAGTCAGCTCTGATGGAGGGATACAGAGTCAAGATCCCAGCTGTGTGTCAGTCCCAGGGAAAGCAACGGCCGCAGCACTCTGGGTGGGGTGAAGGCGATGCCTGGAGATGCTTCCCAAGGGAGGTGTACCATCTCTTTTGAATCCTGAAAGACAGGATTGATTGGAAAGGGGTGGCGGGAGAGTCGGTGGCCACACGTGGAAAGGTCCTGTGGTGAGAAGTGACGGGTACCCCCTTTCTTGTCCTTGAAGAGTGGAAAGCTGAGCCGAGAGCTGGACTTCGTCAGCCACCACGTCCGCACCAAGCTAGACGAGCTCAAGCGGCAGGAGGTATCAAGGCTTCGGATGCTGCTCAAGGCCAAGATGGATGCAAAGCAGGAACCCAGTGAGTGTGGGCGCGTGCACAGGGTCTGGGTGGCTGTGTACTGGGCGCGTGCACAGTGTCTGGGTGGCTGTGTACTGGGCGCGTGCACAGTGTCTGGGTGGCTGTGTACTGGGCGCGTGCACAGTGTCTGGGTGGCTGTGTACTGGGCGTGTGCACAGTGTCTGGGTGGCTGTGTACTGGGCGTGTGCACAGTGTCTGGGTGGCTGTGTACTGGGCGCGTGCACAGGGTCTGGGTGGCTGTGTACTGGGCACGTGCACAGTGTCTGGGTGGCTGTGTACTGGGCGCGTGCACAGTGTCTGGGAAGGCAGGTGGCAATTACTCTTGGGATTTCTTTCTTTTCTTCCTGGCACGTTTTCACCTGACCTTCTGCTTTTGTTTATTTCTGAGAGGTTTGTGGCAAGTTTGTCTTTCTGAGACAAGGTCTCATGCAGCTAGGCTAGCCTCAAACTTACTGTGTAGCCAAGGATGACCTGGAACTCCTGAGCCTTCTGCATCTACCTCTTGAGTGCTAGTGTAGACCACCACATGTTGAATGTCTTTATTGAGCTGTAATAAGAGCCTGTGAGATGGGTAAAGGTGCTTGCCCCAAACTTGATGACCTGAGTTCGATCCCTGGAACCACATATGCTGGGGAGGAGAGAACCCACTCCACAAAGCTGACCTGACCTTCACATGAATTCTGTGACATGTACTTGTACACCCATGTGCATGCGTGTGCATACACACACACACACATACACACACACACACACGCTGACCTGACCTTCACATGAATTCTGTGACATGCATCTGTACTGTATACCCACATGCATGCATGTGCACACACACACACACAATCAGTCTAGGAAGGCACTCCACTGCAGCAGTCCTTTAGGCCAGTCTTGTACCCCAGACAGGCCCAGACATACAGTCCACTGTCTCAGCCTACCAATAGCGGAGATGGCAGGCCTGTGCCACCATGCCTGCCTGCATGGGGCACGCTCTTTGTTTTTTGTTTGTTTGCTTTTGGTTTTCTGAGATAGGGTTTTTCTGTGTAGCCCTGGCTGTCTTGGAACTCACTCTGTAGACCAGGCTGGCGTCAAGCTCAGAGATCCACGTACCTCTGCCTCCTGAGTGAAGCCGGCATCAACACAACCTTTGGAAATAGGGCGCTGTGCGAAGGCCTATTCTGACAGAGATGAGGAAGCACATGAGATATCCCCAGTAGGCAAACCCACAGACATGGGGTGAGGGTGAGCGGCCGGCAGCCTGGACAAGGAAACGACGGTGCTGTTGAAGGCACTCAGCATGGTTCTTTGGGATATGAGAGCAGTCTCCTAAAAGTCATGGTGGTGATGTTTGTGTGTACCTGTGAATGTGCTAAAAGCCATCAGATTGTATGTTTTAAATGAGTGGTTTAGGGCATGGCAAGATGGCTCAGCCCGTAGGGCACTTGCTGCCGAGGATGAGTGATGTACAGCCTGAATGAGACATGTATACACACCACCGCTGTAGCAGCTCAATCAGGCTACTCATGGCCCGTGTTACTAGGCAGCGGTCAAGGCAGGGACTTGTATTAAGAGCAAGGCCTGGCATCGACAGCTGGCATCGTGGTTTCTGTTATTTATTTAAAGTATCACAGTTGGCTGGAGGACTCACCCGCCCCGTCAGACCCTCAGGCATGTGTGCCATCCTCCTTGCCTCTGAGTCGGGTTCTGACAGAATTGCCACAATGGGCCGGGCCATGGTGGCGCACGCCTTTAACCCCAGCACTCGGGAGGCAGAGGCAGGCGGATCTCTGTGAGTTCGAGGCCAGCCTGGTCTATAGAGAGAGTTCCAGGACAGTCTCTAAAACAATACAGAGAAACCCTATCTCGAAGAACAAAAAAGAAAAGAAAAGCCACAATGGGTGTTGTTTTGTTTGATTTTTTGCTTCTCCAGACTTGCAGGTGGACCACCTGAACCTCCTGAAGCAGTTTGAACACCTGGACCCTCAGAACCAGCACACGTTTGAGGCTCGGGACCTAGAGCTGCTGATTCAGACGGTACGGTGGAGAGGAGATGTGGGCCCCGCCTCCTGGTGTTCTGGCGGGGAGCAGCGATGCTGGGTGTAGGTCTGCATCAGCTCCAGTGCCCTCCCGCTTTTCCGTGGGCAGCTGGTGGCCCGGGCTGTGTGATGGGCCCTGCTCTCTGCACTGTAACGCGCTCCGCATCAGTCCCGACTTTATCCACTGATGCCTAAGACTTCCTCCTGACGAATCAAGCAAAACTTCTCTGGTATTAACAGCTGTCCTTTGGTGCATAGCCACCTGGGTAGTGCAGCTGTCCCCATAACAACTAACTGTTAGTACCTTGTTGCTTCAGTGGTAACTAATTACAAACCTAGTAGCTTCAGAGAGCATGAATTCATTGTCTTACAAGTTCTAGCTGCTCGGTGCACACCTTTAACCTCAGCACCTGGGAGGCAGAGGCAGGTGGATCTCTGTGGATTCAAGGCCAGACTCTACAGAGTGAGTTCCAGGACAGCCAGGGCTACACAAGAAAGCCCTGACTTGAAAAACTAAATGAAAAAAAAAAAAAAAAGATTTGCTTTGAGCCAGTATCTTAACATGTAGCCCAGGCTGGCTTAGAATTTAGGATCCTCCAGCCCCAGTCTCCCAAGTGCTTAGATTTCAGGCTGGCTCCTTCCTGAAGTTTCTTGGCTACCCCAGTTATGCTGCTTTCCCTATGAAGCTGTCCCCTGCTCGTTACTGAAAAAAAGCTGAGTGGGTGGAAGACTTGGAATATTCTCACCCAAGTTGCTACTTTGGGAAAGCAGCCTAGGGTTTGCTGTGGGTCGTGCTGGGTGTCTGAAAGGCAGGAGGACTGTGACCCTCTTGCCTCTCCACAGGCCACCCGAGACCTCGCCCAGTATGATGCCGCACATCATGAGGAGTTCAAACGCTATGAGATGCTCAAGGAACATGAGAGAAGACGTTACCTGGAGTCTCTGGGAGAGGAGCAGCGGAAGGAGGCCGAGAGGAAGCTACAAGAGCAGCAGCGCAGACACCGGGAGCACCCCAAAGTCAATGTGCCTGTAAGGACCCTGCATATGCTTTACCATGTCCAACTCCTAAGCAGAGAAAAAAAAAATGAATGCAGGTATAAAACTACAACTCCCAAGAGGCCTTGCAGCAAAAAGTCCATCTACCTGTATGAAAATACTCCAGAGGTTGCTGGGAATTGTAGTTCTGGCTTGAGGAGACTAAAGTTTATTGGAGGGGCGCATAGGGCTGTCTGACCTGTTACAGATTCGTTGTTCACAAGCTCCTGCTATTCTTCTCCACAGGGCAGCCAAGCCCAGTTGAAGGAGGTGTGGGAGGAGCTGGATGGATTGGACCCCAACAGGTTCAACCCCAAGACCTTCTTCATACTGCATGGTAAGGTGGGGAGGGTGTTCCCCCAGGCTGACGTGAGAGGTCCTGGAGCCTGGATGCCATGGGGAAATCTACCCTTTCCAGTGGGCTTTGTGAGCCCTACCAGACCTCCTCCTAGCCTGACTGGCCAAGGATCCTCCCCATCCCCGTTGTTAAGCCTGGAATCTTCCATGGAAGAGCCAAGTCTTTTCCTCAGTATTATTTTCCTCTGTATTCTATCTATGCAATGGCCTTGTTCTCTAACTGAGCAGACCAGGCTTTGAGGAGTACATGTAGAACTACAACTCCCAAGAGTCACAGAGACAAAAAAGTGCTTATGGGAGGCAGAGGGCCTGGGGAGATGGCTCAGCAGTTAAGATCACTGGCTGCTCTTCCAGAGGCTCCTGGCACTTGTGGGACGCTCACAGCCCTCTGTGGACACGATGCATATACAACCTTGGCCTCTGAGAACACTATACATATACATGGTCCACATACATACATGTAGACAAAGCCACAGGAATGTTGGGAATTGAAGTTTGAGAAAGTGAAATTTACGGCTGCCACAGTAGCTCAGAAGCTTGGGTCTCCCAAGAGCCCTGCATAACGCTGGCAACCTGAGTTTGATTTGTAGACATATATGATAGAAGGAAAGACCCAACTCCCACATGTTGATCTCTGACCTCCATGTGATGTGTTACAGGTGTACCCACATTCAAGCACACACATGCACACAATTTTTAAAAATTCATTTTTTTTTCTTAAGACAGGGTCTTGCTGGGTGGTGGTGATATGTGCCTTTAATCCCAGCACTCGAGAAGTAGATACAGGTGGACTCCTATGAGTTCAAGCCCAGCTTGGTCTACAGAGAGAGTTTTCAGACAGCCAGAACTACATAGAGAGACCTTATCTCCAAAGGAACTGAAAAAAGGAAAAAAAAAGTCAGGGTCTGACTGTCCTGGTACTCCCTCAGTAGTCCAAGCTGCCTCTGCCGCCCAAGTACTGGGATTAAAGGGGTGCACCACTATACCCAGTATATAAAATTTTTTAAATTTAATGAATAAGGAAATGATTCAGTTAGTAAATCACTTGCCTTAAACATATGAGAAACTGAGTTCAGATCCCCAGAACCCACAAGTCAGGTGAGGTAGTGTCTACCTACAGCTTGGTTATGGTGAAGTAGAAGGCAGAGGTAGGCAGGGCCTTCTAAGCTCATAGGCCAGCTAGCCTGCCCAGCTTGCAGTTCCAGAGAGATGCCCTCTCTGAAAGAAAAAGAGGTCAGACGTGAGGGGTTTCTTGCCCTCCATAGCTGTACTGTGCACCCACACCCACACCCACGAGCGCACACTTGCACCCACACCCACGAGCGCACACTTGCACCCACACCTAAGTGCACACTTGCACCCACACCCACGAGTACACACTTGCACCCACACCCACGAGCGCACACTTGCACCCACACCCACGAGCGCACACTTGCACCCACACCCACGAGTACACACTTGCACCCACACCCACACCCACGAGCGCACACTTGCACCCACACCCACGAGCGCACACTTGCACCCACACCCACGAGTACACACTTGCACCCACACCCACGAGCGCACACTTGCACCCACACCCACGAGCGCACACTTGCACCCACACCTAAGTGCACACTTGCACCCACACCCACACCCACGAGCGCACACTTGCACCCACACCCACGAATACACACTTGCACCCACACCCACACCCACGAGCGCACACTTGCACCCACACCCACACCCACGAGCGCACACTTGCACCCACACCTAAGTGCACACTTGCACCTACACCCACACCCACGAGCACACACTTGCACCCACACCCACGAGCGCACACTTGCACCCACACCCACGAGCACACACTTGCACCCACACCCACGAGTACACACTTGCACCCACACCCACGAGCACACACTTGCACCCACACCCACGAGTACACACTTGCACCCACACCCACGAGTACACACTTGCACCCACACCCACGAGCACACACTTGCACCCACACCCACGAGTACACACTTGCACCCACACCCACGAGTACACACTTGCACCCACACCCACAAGCGCACACTTGCACCCACACCCACGAGCGCACACTTACACCCACACCCACGAGCGCACACTTGCACCCACACCTAAGTGCACACTTGCACCCACACCCACGAGCGCACACTTGCACCCACACCCACACCCACGAGCGCACACTTGCACCCACACCCACACCCACGAGTACACACTTGCACCCACACCCACGAGCGCACACTTGCACCCACGCCCAGCAGCTCACCAGCGCCTGTGACACAACAGTCCCCAGGTACCCGATGCCCTGGCCCTGAAGGCACCTGGACTCATACACATATACCCACATGCATACACATACACATAATTGAATGTTTTAATTTATAAAGAAATTTATTAAGGAAGACAAAGGTGTGCTGTGCCAAGAACGGGAGGGAGCCAGAGAGCTGGGACCCATCTAAGGCCCAGGTACCCACAGTGGTGATTTTTAAGCATGAATTTCCGTAGCGAGTGGTGGGTTTGGCTCGATTTGTTCCCTGAACCTCATATTGCGGGGCAAGCACTGGGATCTTCCACTGACCTTTGACTCCAGTCCAGGGTATAGTAGTAATCTTGCAAAACGGGGGCTTTGAGCCAAGTACAATGTCTGCAGATCTGGGGGAGGCTCAGGAGTCCATGGTCACCCTCACACTGGTGTCATGTTGGGGGCCCATCTGAGCTGTGTGAGACCTAATCTGAAAAAAAAAAAAGACCTGCGTGGTGGTGGCACACGCCTTTAATCCCAGCACCCCGGAGGCAGAGGCAGGTGGACTGTGAGTTCAAGGCTAGCCTAGAGTCCCAGGACAGCCAGGGCTATACAAACCCTGTCTCAAAACCATGAATAAACTAGACCTCTGTGCCCACCCGGCAGCTCCTAGTTCGCCCTCCTCTCAACCCCTGGGTCCCGTGTCAGTACCGCCTTTGGCCTCCTGTCTCTGTGGTACTGGCCCCAGGTCCCCTGAGTAAACGCTGTCTGTGCAGGGGAACTGGGAGTCATTGCGACCGTAGGCACACAACCAGGGGCTGTGAGTTAGAAGACAGTTCCAGAGAGGGCATGTGGACACTTGAAAAGAGCGCGGAGGGCCGGGACAGCGTGTGGTGAGTGTTTGGCTGGCCTGCACAAGGCCCTCCTCTTCCGTGCTGTTGCCAGAACAAAAACAAGGAATCCCAAAGTGATGGCTGCATCCTTGCTGCCACACGGGGAAGAGTTTCTAGATGAGTGAAACCCACGCACGCACAGAGAATGGGCTTCGTGGGTCTCCGGGGCTGTCAGTCTCACACATACCAGCAGGGGTGGTGACTGGGCGGCACTGCTGGCCCTGCAGCGAAGGTTGGGAACAGTCACCTTGAAGGACAAACAGAATCTGTCTGGCCTTCTGCACAGTCAAGCAGGGACTAAACCCAGGAGCCTTATGAGTGGCAGGAAGGGCTGGTGGCTGGTTGGTAGGAGACAGAAATGCGTCTGAGTCAGGCAAGCTGGCAAGCAAGAATGATAGCCCATGAGGCGTGGACCTCCCTGGCCACTGGAGTTGGCATGGGCCTGGTTCTCAGAGAGGCAGAGGTCACAGAGCCCCTGGACTCCATTCCTAGGCCCCTGCTTGCTACACAATTGTTTTTATTTTGTTTTATTTTTGTTTTTGAGACAGGGTTTCTCTGTGTAGCCCTAGTTGTCCTGGAACTCTGTAAACCAGGCTAGCCACAAACTCTAGAGATGTCTCTACTTCAGGAATGCTGACATTAAAGGCATGTGCTCTCACACCCAGCCAGAATGGTTTCTTCCAGCAGGGTACTGAAGCCTGCTGGCCATGGCCCCCATTCTCCTTGCTTTCTGCTAAGAGACCTCACATCTACCCACAATTCCTTCGCCTGCTTTTCCCCTGGGGACCAGACTCGCCGACCCTCTGTCCCCTGATATCTTGTCTTGCATCCCAGACATCAACAGCGATGGTGTCCTAGACGAGCAAGAACTGGAAGCTCTCTTTACCAAGGAGGTGAGTGGTCTGACGGACTTTAGCCTCCTGCGCCCAGAGTTGGTGGCAATGCAGGGTAAAACACCCAGCAGCCCCCCGGGGGCAAAGCTGTTAACAGTGGCGTCAAGCCCAGGGTCCTCTGGGAGGTGAGGTGTGTGCACTGGGCGTGGGGTCTCAGCCTCGAGGTGCTTCATGCTTCTCCCTTAACCCTGCAGCTGGAGAAGGTTTACGACCCCAAGAATGAGGAGGATGACATGAGAGAGATGGAGGAGGAGCGGCTGCGAATGAGGGAGCACGTCATGAAGAATGTGAGGGGACGCCTGGGGCGGGGTGAGCAGTGACAGCAGGCCCAGTGCAGCCCTTAACCTTGGTCTGGCTCCCCAGGTGGACACCAACCAGGACCGTCTGGTGACCCTGGAGGAGTTCCTGGCATCCACACAGAGGAAGGAGTTTGGGGACACTGGGGAAGGGTGGAAGGTGAGGACGTGGAACTCTCTGACACGATACTCGTCTCCCGGTTGCAGCCTTCCTTTCCTCGGCACCTCTGGGGGCTCCTGGTCTCTAGGGGTCTCTGCTGCTCCTTCTGGTTCCCTGATTCCCATCCCCCTCCCCATCTCTAGGCCCGTTCTTCCTGCTCTAGTCTACTTCCAGTCGGGTCACTGGGGTGCCTGCCGTAACCCACGCACATGCGCCCCAGCCTCTCACTCTCCTCCCTCCCTGTGAGCCTGGGGCTGCCCGTTCATCACCTGACCGTGTCCTGTGTCTCGCAGACAGTGGAAATGTACCCGGCCTACACAGAGGAGGAGCTGAGGCGCTTTGAGGAGGAACTTGCTGCCAGGGAGGCTGAGCTCAATGCCAAGGCCCAGCGCCTCAGCCAAGAGACAGAGGCCCTGGGGCGCTCCCAGGACCGCCTGGAGGCTCAGAAGAGGGAGCTGCAGCAGGTGACCAGCTGGGGAATGTGGGCCCATCGTCTAGATCTCACAGGGCCTTTCCCTTTGTCCAAATGGGTGTCCTCAGGGTTAGGGTTGGGGGTAGCTCCCATGTTAATAATAGCGGGCACATATCTGCAGGTGGTAGCTTCTGTCATCAGAAGCCATGGGGGAGAAGGGACTGTGGCCACTTAGTGGTTGGCGGTGGGGTCTTCCCGGGGCCATACCCCCCTGTGTGTCCACTCTTGCAGGCTGTTCTGCAGATGGAGCAAAGGAAACAGCAGCAGGAGCAGAGCGCTCCCCCTTCCAAGCCCGAGGGACAGCTGCAGTTCCGTGCAGACACAGGTACTGACTCTGTGCCCTGGGACATTGGGTCCCAAGGAGGGAGGCCAGGGCCCAGGCCCCTAAATCAGAGGCAAGGGGAACGGTGACTGAGGGAGGAGGCATGGGCCTGGACCTTCTGTCTGAAGGAGTGGGCCCCGGAATCCTGTTTCCTGTCAGGAGTTTGCTGTCTAAGCTCCTCTATTCCTCTGCAGATGATGCCCCTGTCCCAGCCCCAGCAGGAGACCAGAAAGACGTGGCTCCTTCTGAAAAGAAGGCCGCAGAGCAGCCCCCTGAGCTGCCACAGCCGGACTCCCAGCCGTTATGATCTCTCCGTTCCTGTAGACAGTGATGGAAGCTGAATGAAGTGTCCTTGCGGCCTCTGGGAAGGAGAAAGGGCCACCCTTCCCTCAGACGCACCTCTGCCCGTGTCTGCCACTCTCGGCAATCAGAGCCTCCAGCTCCCGTCCCTCCTGTCCCCTCCGTCCCTTCCGTCTGCCTCCTGGCTCCCTTTATTCTGTCAGGGACTCGCTGCAGGGGCTGAAGTGAAGAAACCGTTCTGTCCTGGAGTGCTCGCTCCGGGCCTGCCTTCCTTTCTGATTTGGTCTTAGCTGTTCCAGGCTCGGCCACTTTGCATCCTGTCAGAGGAACCTGGCTTGGTCCCTCTGACTGCCTTCTGTGGGGCCAGTGGGTCAGTTCCTTCTGTGATTGGAGGCTGGGGACGTGGGTGTCTTTCAAGTAACTATCGGCTCTGCCTGGAGCCCTGGCTTCCATTGCTTACTCACCGGCCAAATACCTACCCCATGGCTCCAGAAGGTACCAGGTATGGCTACACCCTAGCTGAGATCCAACCGCCCTCAGCCCACACCTGTGGGGGCTTCATGCCACACTGCTATGCCCTACTCTGTGCTCCAGCTCCATTCAAATGTCGTCTGGTACAAATAAACATTAGCGTGTCTGTGTACGCACTGCCCTCTTGGGAGCCACACCCAAATGCCACCTTGACTGTGCAGTATCCTATGGGCACTTCAAGCCTCACTTCTGAGAGGCTGTCTGCTCTTGGCAGAATAGCCTCAGGCTGCTTCTTTTTGCCTTGGGGACAGAAAACCCAAACCTGAGCTTGAAAAAAATTGTAATAGTGTAAATAATTTTAAAAGTATATTATTAAGGGGTTGTGGCTCAGTTGCTATAATGCTTGCCTGGCATACACGACACCCTGTGTCCTGCAGGTCACTTAAATGGGGAATGGGAGTAAATGCCTGTAATCCTAGCCCTTGGAAGGTGGAGGCAAGTTCACTGTCGTCCTAAGCTGTACAAGTTGAAGGCCAGCCTGGGCTATATGAAGCCCTATGTCTAAAGACAAAGGCTGGGGGGGGGAGCAGGGTGTGCACCTGTTTACTCTCAGCACTGGGAAGGCAGAGAGAGGCAGGCAGATCCCTTCATTCAGCCAAGACTACATAGTGACGTCCTGTCCATAAAAGGGGGGAGGGGCACAGAGATGGCTTAGTTGGAAAAGTACTTGTGCAAGCATGGGGACCCATTGTGTAAAACATCTGTAGCCAGCCCTGGGGAGGCAGAGACACACGGGTGAGTAAAACATCTGTAGCCAGCAGAGGGGAGGGCAGAGACAGACAGGTGGGTGTGTAAAACATCTGTAGCCAGCCCTGGGGAGGCAGAGACAGACAGGTGGGTGCCTTGAGGTTGCTGGTCTTTTCCTAGCCAATTCTGCTTTTCCAAACCTCAGGAAGACCTTAATAAAACTGGATTGTGTTGAAGACATCCAGCATAGCTCTCTGGACTGCACGCGCGTGCACACACACACATACACACACACACACCACACAAATGTCGGCAGCACGCTAGCTTCAGCATTATGAGGAAAGTTGCCAGTCTCCCATCCTCTGTTAGTTGCTGGAACACTACTCCCTTCGTGGTCCTGCATAGCTGTGCCAACTCCAGATATCACACTCATCTGCACCATCGGCCTGGATTTCGTCAGTGGGAGGATCCACTCCCCAAAGCCCATTCACATGCAGCTTCCCACTCATGTCCCATTGGTCACGAGAGCACCAGGATCGTGGCTACCTGTGACCCATGTCCTCATCTGGGATGGGGACATTCTCGGATGAATGGTGCAAGGGTCATCATTTACATGAGGGCGTGCTCCCCAACAGCTGCACCAGGTCACGCGATGATGTCACAGAAGCCACACCCGGAGCCTCTCAGGTGAGTCCCCACTGTCCCATTCTTCAGCCTCTCTCAGATCTCGACGCTGGGGTTGCACAGGAAGAAGTGATGACTGGAATCTTAGGAACCAGTCTCGTGACTTCCTTCTCCCATTTAGCAGGAAGTGCTGTAGTTCATTACCATGGACCTGACTGTCGCCGGTTAGTAGTCATGGCTGCTGGACGGATGTGTCTGTTCTCCAAGACAGCACCACATAAGTGATTCAGAGAGAAAAAACACCACCATACAACACAGTAGCTACATTTACTGAACCTTCACTGCCTAGAGCTCCTCAGAGAGGGGTGGGGTCCCGTGGGCCCCTCACACACCAAGGCCTTTTTGATTGTTTTTTTTGTTTTTGTTTGAGACAGGCTGTTGCTATGCAGCTCTAGCTAGCTTGGAACTCTGTGTAGATCCAGCTGGCCTTAAACTCAGAGATCCACCTGCCTCTGCATCCTGAGTGCTGGGATTAAAGGTGTGCACCACCAAGTCCTATGTCATTTCAAAATAGATTTATTTTTAGTTCTGCGTGTGTATGTATGTGTGTGTGTGTATGTATGTGAGTATGTACATATGTGTCTGTATGTCTGTCTGTATGTGTCTGTGTATGCATGCATGCATGTGTGTATGTGTCTTTAGTGTGTGTGTGTAGTGTATGTATGTGAGTATGTACATATGTGTCTGTATGTCTGTATGTATGTGTCTGTGTATGCATGCATGCATGTGTGTATGTGTCTTTAGTGTGTGTGTGTGTATGTATGTGAGTATGTATGTGTCTGTGTATGCATGCATGCATGTGTGTATGTGTCTTTAGTGTGTGTGTGTAGTGTATGTATGTGAGTATGTATGTGTCTGTGTATGCATGCATGCATGTGTGTATGTGTCTTTAGTGTGTGTGTGTAGTGTATGTATGTGAGTATGTATGTGTCTTTGTGTGTCTGTGTGTGTATGCCACAGGAGTTCAGGTGCTCACAGAATTCAGAGAGGAGCTGGAGTTACAGATAATTGTGAGCTGCCTGATGTGGATGCTGGGAGCCAAACTCAGCCCTCTGCAAGAGCAGCACATGCTCCAAACTACTAAGCGTCTCTCCAGCCCCCAGGGACCCAGGGTCTTAATTAAATACATGCCTACAAAGCAAGAGAAACTGGGTGTGGCCTTGCTGAGGGTGGACTTAGCCAACCAATTGAGGATAAGTTTTTATATTTTACATAACATGCCACAGAACTCAGCTAATTCTCTCTTGATTTTTTTTCTTTTTTCTTCCTTTTTTTAAATTTAAGTTAGAATCAAGCTTGCTTAATATGTCAATCCCAGTTCCCTCTCCCTCCTCTCCTCCCCCGCCCCCCCACCAGGCCCCTCTAGTCCCCCACCCAATCTCCACTCTCTGATCCCCAGGGAGGGTGAGTGCTAATCCTTTTAAGAATTCCCTCTAAGTAGAAGCTATAGGTAATTCCCTTTTCCAAAACGAAACGTGACCACACTCCCAGAGGGGTCCAGTCCTGAGCCAGGAAGAAGCTTGCACACAGGTTAGCTGAGCGGTGGTGGCACACGCCTTTAATCCCAGCACTCAGGAGGCAGAGGCAGGCGGATCTCTGTGAGTTTGAGACCAGCCTGGTCTACAGAGTGAGTTCCAGGACAGCCTCCAAAGCCACAGAGAAACCCTGTGGCTCCAAAGCCACAGAAAAACAGCAAAAAGCCAACAAACAAAAGAATAAGAAGAAAGAAAAAAGAGGAAAGAAAGAAAGCACGGAGGGACATGAAAGAGGATTCTGTCCCTAACTCCAAGGGTCTTAAGAAGTGGGGCCACAGCCGGGCCTGCTTGGGAAGCTGAGGCAAGAGAATTATTCAAGGACACCTGTGATACCTATGTCGGGGAACGTAAATGAACTGTCATTTCTATCAAAGGGTTAAATGGAAACGGGAAGGAATCATGATTACACTTAGATGTTGCATAACCAGTTAGCTCAATGATTAATTAAAACTGCAACTGACAATATCTTACTAAGTATGTGACTTATGGACACAATCAGATAAGTGTTAAGTGAATTTGAAGAAAAGACAGAATGAAATTGTTGTAAGAGAAGAGGGACGAGAGGGTGTAAATGAGATGTATTTTCTTTTCTCTCCAAAAGTTAAAAGATAAATAAGTTCCACCGTTAAAGGGACTTGTAAAGACATAATCTAGGCTCAGTGGTTAAGAACACTCACTGCTCTCGCAGTGGACCCAAGTGAGGTCCCCAGCACCCACATGATGAGTGGTTACAGCAGCTATAACTCCAGTTCTAGGTGGCCCAGCATATCTCCTTTCTTCCTTTTTCTGCTCCTCTCTTCCTCCTCCCCCTTCCTTCCTTCCTTACATCTGTGTGTGAGGGTGCGCTTGTCTACATCTGTGTACACGCTGTGCCTGTGTGGTGTACACAGAGGACAGAGGGCACTGGTCTCCTGGAACTGGAGTTAAAGACATTGCAAGCTGCCATGGGAAACTGGCCGTGGGTCCTGTGGAAGAGCAGCCAGTGCTCTTAACTGCTGAGCCATCTCTCCAGCCACTGGAACACTCTTCTGACCTCTAAGCAACAGGCGTGCACATGGTGCACGTACGTACACACACACACAGAGACACACACAGACACACACATACACACACTCACACACACACTTGAGCAACAAAACCAAACCCAGTGGTTCCCTGCAGGGTGTGTGTGCCTGCTTGATTAGGCGCAGCTATGCCCCTGTCTACAGATTTTGCTTTGCAAAAAATACTTCGGATCCTTGAGACACAGACCAATTTCTAAAAATACCAAGACCCGGTCTCAAAATAAAAAGTAAAAGGACACTCAAAAGACAGGCATGGTGATGTACACCTGTAATCCCTGCACTCAGGAAGTTGAGGCAGGAGGATTGCCTTGAGTTGAAGTCAGCAGCCTGGACTATACATATTGTGAATTCCAGACCAGCCTGGGCAGCAGAGTGAGGCACTGTCAAAAGTGGGGGGGGGGGAGCCCAGGGCAGAGCGTAGCATTGGAGAAATACTTCTCTCTCCCTGAGAACTCTGCAGTTGTATCCATAAAAGTCAAAATCTCACCCAAAACAGAGAGCAAAGTCCTGCTGCTTTGAAGGTGGAGCCAAGCCGTGCATGGTCGCCTTGGCCCCACCTCCAGGCCTGCGGAACAGTCCCTAGGGACAGCCACTAGGGACAGCTGCTGCAGGCAGAAGTTGTCCATAGCATCCGCGGTGACGATGGCGCTGCGCTGGGGCATCGTGTCAGCTGGCTTAATCGCCAACGACTTTACAACCATGCTGTGCTCACTGCCTCCCTCGGAACACCAGGTGCACCTCCCGTGGGAGTCCCTGAGTCTGAGGGGAGAGTGGGGCCCGGGGGTGAGGGTGGGGTCCCGAGGTCTGAGATGCCTCTGAGAGGAGAAGGGGACGCTGAGGTGTGATCCTCAAGGCCACAGGGGACTCGTTTTCAGGTCCCCCCTCTTCACCCAGTCTAAACCTGGGGTGCTTTGAGGTTTCAGGGAGTCTCTTAGCCACTCGGAGGAGGAGCTCTTGTGCAGTCAGGAACTGGGCCCTCACTTTCATTTGTTTGTTTGTTTTGCTTTGCCTCCTCTCAAGACAGGGTTTCTTTCTCAGTGTAGCCTTGGCTGTCCTGGAATTCTCTTTGTAGACCAGTCTGGCCTCACAGAGATCCGCCTGCCCCTGCCTCCCACGTGCTGGCATTAAAGGTGTGCACCACCACCGCCCTGCTCATTTTCCTATTTATTCAGAGTTTTGTCACGTGCCCAGGATGGCCTTGGACTCATTCTGTAGCTTGGGTTGGCCTGAGCATAAGTCAGTCTGGCTTTTCCAGCATCCATCCCCCCCTTCAGACAGCAGTATCTTCCATGGCCATCTTGGAACTTCCCTTCCGTTGCTTGCCTCCCAACTGCTTTATCTTCTACAAAGCTCCCTCCTCAACCCTTTGAATTTGACACCAGGTGGTAGCAGTGGCTGCGAGGGACCTGAACCGGGCGAAGGAGTTTGCCCAGAAACACGATATCCCCAAGGCATATGGCTCCTATGAGGAGTTGGCAAAGGACCCAAACGTGGGTGAGTGGCCTCGAAGCTGGAGGTGGGGGCAGAGGTCGGAACAGCCTCTTCCTGTGCTGTGGTAAATGTGTGATAACAAGTGCACCTGATGTCCTTGAATACCAGCACTCAGGAGGCAGAGGCAGACCCATCTCTGAGTTCAAGGCCAGCCTAGTCTACAAGAGCAAGTTCTAAGACACCCCTTCCCCCAGATAAAGCAGGTACACTTCTGGGGAAGTGGGGTCCAGCTGGGGTAGCAGGCAGAGTTAATGGGAAGGCACTTGGCTGGAGACTGGCTGAACTGTGTTAAGTTGTGCTTAGATGCCGGGTCACTGGAGCTAAGGGCAAGTTTTAAGTTTCTCAGGAGGCTGGGAATCTGTTAAGAATTTATTTTGCAGCACTGGGAATGGAATCTCACAATTTAGGCTCCACAGAGCTGCAGCCCAACATTTTGCTCTATTTTGAGAGAGGGTCCCTGTAGGGAGAGATCTCATGTACCCGTGAGGGGGAGGCAGAGACACAGGGGAAGGAAGGAGAGGTCACTCTTTCTCCTGGGGTCCTGGAGGTCGGAGACCAGCAGAGCTCTGACCTCAGTTCTCAGCTTCTCTCGTAACTGATTCCTCCCTAATAAAATAACGTATGGCATCCCCATCCTGTGTATGGTAATCTTCCTCTTCAGGTCTCACCGTGTAGCCCTGGCTAGCCTAAAACTTAATATGTAGATCAGGCTGGCCTCACACTCACAGAGCTCTGCCGGCCTTGCTTTGCAGTTTCTAATTGCTGGGATTAAAGGCCTGCGCTACCATGCCTGGCCCCTTGGATTTTTTGAGACAGACCTCACTATGTAGTCCAGGCTGGTCTCAAAATTGCTATCCGCCTGCATCAGCCTCCCAAAAGCCTGGTAGTCTCTTTTTTTTTTTTAATAATTTTTCTACATATGCCTTTAAGCTTTGCACTCTTTTTTTTTAAAGATTTTATTTATTTATTCTAAATACAACATCCTGTCTCTATGTATGTCTGAACACCAGCAGAGGGCGCCAGATCTCATTATGGATGGTTGTGAGCCACCATGTGGTTGCTGGGAATTGAACTCAGGACCTGTGGAAGAGCAGTCAGTGCTCTTAACGTCTGAGCCATCTCTCCAGCCCCAAGCCTGGTAGTCTCTTGATGAGAGGATTAGGACTGAGTACAGCACTCTGGCCCTGAACGCTGGCGGACAGGCCTCTTCTTGTGTGTGCTGCTGACTCCTCCCTTCTACTCTAGAGGTTGCCTACATTGCCACACAGCACCCCCAGCACAAGCCAGCGGTGCTCCTCTGCCTGGCAGCGGGCAAGGCCGTCCTTTGCGAGAAACCCATGGGTGTGAATGCAGCCGAGGTCCGGGAGATGGTTGCAGAGGCCCGTTCTCGGGGCATCTTCCTTATGGAGGTAAGCCTGGAGGGCCCTTCTGATGTTCGGAAACCATCAGCTGCCAGTAGTAAACACGGTTGCCCAAGCTTGCCCACTGTCAAAATGCCACCAGATCAGAATCTTGGTGTGGCCAGGATGTAACTGCATCTAGCCTCTGCTGAAGGCACATTCCCAAGTCCACTGCTCCCCACGTGCAGAGGCCAATACTAAGGTCAAGTGAGGAATAGCATTTATTTGGAAAGCAAGAAAACCAAAGACAGAAGCATTTTGCTGCTGCAAACTTACCTAGGGAGTTGTGGGGTTGTGTGTCAGGCCAGCCAGCAGCTCAGGAGAGTCCCATAGCACACAAGAGCTCAGCGTCCCAGAGGTACACGCTGCGTGCTCAGCTTCCGGTTACTGCTCACTCTCTGGACCTGAGGAAAGCGCAGATGAGAACAGTGACTCAGCCTTTGTAGCTTCAGGGCACACACAGCTTCCTTCTCCTGCAGAACAGGAGATAATGAAGAGATACTTTTCCAGAGCTCCATCTCCAACACAGGGGAGGGAACCTTCAAGTCGGTGCAGCTTTTAACCCGTTACATGGCTCCAGCCAGAGATGTCATCTACACCAAAGCTAACGGGAGACTAAAAATTTGCCACCAGAATGTGTGACTTCCAAAATTAGTGATTAAAAAACGTTTTATTAGTTATTCATTTACTATGCCACGTGTACACTCGGTGCCCACGGAGCACAGAGGACAGTGTCAGACACCCTGGACAGGCTGCGAGCCGCTGTGTGTCTGCTGGGAACCAAACCTGGGTCCTGTGTCGCAGTGGCAAGTGCTCCTGCTCCTAACCGCTGAGCCAGCTCTGCAGCCCCTGAAATGAGTGACGTTTCTAAAGTCAGCCAAGAAGAGTCAGGTATTCAATCCAAGTGCTCAGGAAGCAGAGGCAGGTGGTCCTCTGTGAGCTCAAGTCCAGCTCTGTCCACATCGCAAATTTCCAGCCAGCTAGAGCTACACAAGGAAGGCAGGAAGGGAGGGAGGGAGGAAGGAAGGAAGGAGAAAAGGAAGGCAGGCAAGCCAACCGAGCAATGCTAAAGAGACTATGAGGATGCAGCTCTGTGGACAGAGTATTTGCCACACATGCGGGAAGCCCTGGGCTCCGTCTTCAGCACCACAAGAAGCCGCGCGGTGGCTCACTTCCGTCAACACTAGGACGGAGACAGAGGCCCAGCATGGTGGTGAACACTTTTAATCTTAGCATTGGGACCTTTGTGAGTTCTAAGCCAGCTAGGGTTACAAGATTGTGTCTCAAAAACAGAAAAGACAAGAATGAAGGAAAGAAAGAAAGAGGGAGGGAGGGAGGGAAGGAGGGAGAAAAAAAGGGTTGTGGTGGAATAGAGCGATGGCTCAGAAGTTAAGAACACTGATTGAAGCTGGGTGGTGGTGGTCAATGACATTAATCCCGGCACTCTGGAGGCTGAGGCAGGTGGATCTCTGTGAGTTTGAGACCATCCTGGTGTACAGAGCTAGTACCAGGATAGTCTCCAAAGCCACAGAGAGAAGCCCTGTCTCAAGAAACCCGAAGAAACACACACCACTGGTTGATCTTCCAGAGGACCAGAGTTCAGGCAGGTATCAGCACACACATTGGATTGTTTGCAGTCACCTGTAACTCATTTCAGGGGATTTGACGCCCTCTTCTGGCCTTTGGGGGCACCTACATAAGTGCAAGTATCTCCGGCTACATAGATTGAGGCCAGCCTGAAATACATGAAACCCTTTATCAAAAGGAAAAAAAACCAACAAAACAAAAAGTCACCCAGAAGGGAAGCCAGCTTGCTTATTGAAGTGTGATGGCTGTCGTTACCCTTATCAAATGTGACAGACTCCCTCAGGCTGCATGGAATGTTCTTTAGCTTCCATGTTCAATTTCAGAAGAGAGAGAGGAGAGGGGGTTTGGAGAGAGGGGGATGCGTAGAACCTTTTTCAGGTAAAGGTTTGGTTTTTTTTGTTTTTTGTTTTTTTGAAACAGGATTTCTCTATAGCCTGGCAATTCTGTAGACCAGGCTGGCCTCAAACTCACAGAGATCCACCAGCCTCTACCCCTGAGTGCAGGGAATAAGGGCATACACACCATGCCGACCAATTTAGAGCTTTTTAAAAGGCTAGAGATGTCATCTCAGTGTATGGAGTGCTTCTCTAACCCAAGCTCTGGGTTCAGGTCCACCTGTCCAGGATGCCTACAGTGGTCTCAGCTGCCTGTCATAAAAATCAAGACACTCCCCCACGGGCCAATCTCATCTAGGAAGTTCCTCAACTGAGACTCACTTCTGCTTCATAGTGAGTCCGAAGCTTGCCCGAGCTACACAATACCCCGTCTAAGAACATGAACAAAACCACGTGTAGGACAGACAGTTGGAAAGGAAAGCTGGGGTGACGGCCCCAGGGGGTAGGTCAAGGCAGGACCTTATGCTGGGGCGATGGATTACCCTCAGGACTAGGACCCTGAGAGAGGTGTGGCTCATCGCCTTCTGAGTACTAACGCCTCCCTTTCCTTGGGCTCCCTCTCTGGTGTGCAGGCCATCTGGAGCCGGTTTTTTCCTGCCATGGAGGCTTTGCGGGAAGTTTTGGCCCAAGGAATTATCGGGGACGTACAAGTGGCCCGGGCAGAAATGGGGAGAGATATAACTTTTTTGCCCCGGGCCACAGACTGGAGCCAGGCCGGCGGCGGCCTGCTGGACATAGGCATCTACTGCGTCCAGTTCCTCTCCATGGTCTTTGGCGCGCTGAAGCCGGAGAAGATTTCAGCCATGGGAACCATTCATGAAACAGGTACTGCGTACCCTCGGTTGGATGGCAATAGGAGGCCTGCTTCTCAATCTCCTGCGCCCCACTCCGCCACCCCCACCAAAGAAACCAAATTAGATAACGGGAGGATTTCCTTGAGGGGCACCCTCCCTAGCCACGCACTAGACACCTAAGAAACTACCATCCCCAGAATGTCCAGGGACACATGTATACGTGGTTTAAGCGGGTGGCCACGCTCAAGGCTTTCTGGGAAATGTAGTTCAAAGAACTTGGGCAGCCCCGGAAAAGTAGGCGGGGCCCAACGTCTCCTTCAGACCCTGGCTCCCAAGCCCACCCTCTGCTCCTGGCCAGGCACTGACACTGTACCACGTGATCTGAGACTGGCTTGATGATCAAATGTTAATAATAGGGGTGTTGTGGGAGTTTATGAAGAATTGAAGTAACTGTTACTACTTAAGAAACACAAACAAGGCCGGGCAGTGGTGGCACACGCCTTTAGTCCCAGCACTCGGGAGGCAGAGGCAGGCGGATCTCTGTGAGTTTGAAGCCAGCCTGGTCTCCAGAGCGTGTTCCAGGACAGGCATGAGCCAGGCTCCAGGAGAGTCTGTCTCCAACAAACTAATAAAACCCAGCAAAAGCAACAAAAACGAAATGAAACAAAGCAGCAACAAAAAGGCCAAGTGCCCGGGCCAAGGTTGGAGGCGTGTGCAGTGTGTCCGTGCCCGGGCCAAGGTTGGAGGCGTGTGCAGTCTGCCCGTGCCCGGGCCAAGGTTGGAGGCGTGTGCAGTCTGCCCGTGCCCGGGCCAAGGTTGGAGGCGTGTGCAGTCTGTCCGTGCCCCACCCTGCCCCGAGCTGACCTGTGCTTTCTACAGGTGTGGACAACACGGTCAGTGTGCTTCTGCAGTACCCAGGAGGGGTCCACGGCAGTTTCACCTGCAGCATCACTTCCACCCTCCCCAACACGGCTTACGTGAGCGGCACCAAGGGCATGGCCCAGGTGAGACCTTACACGCCCAAGTGCTGGGGCCTGTGCAGCCACCGCCAGAGGGGACCCGAGGGCTGAAGCTTTTTCTTACCCTGCTTTTAAGACTTCAGACTCCTTAACAAGCCAAGGGGTGGGGTTTCGGCCTTGAGGTCACAGCCCCATAGTCTGGGCCTTAGGGCAAGCTAGTTCTTTTGATGTTTGGTTTTTGGTGCTGGGAAGGGAAGCCTGGCCTCCCTGACTGCTAACCATGTGCTCTGGCACCCAGTCACTCTGCAGCCCCGAGTTATTTCCATCTGCATTGGCCACTTTTGCTATTCTTGGGACCGAACGTCTGGCAGAGGCCATGTAACTGATGAAGGTCCATTTCGGCTCAGTGCATCAATGAGGGAAGGACGCAGAGGCTGAACCAGTTTGGGCTGTAGCAATGGGAGCTTTCCACACAGCTTGCTCACACCATGACAGTGAGGAAGCTGAGAACTCAGCTGGGCTCCAATACTGGACGGGAGCTCCCAGGCCCACCCACTGTGCTGTGAACAGTTCCGGTTCTAAACACACAGCTGACGGCCTGGGATCTTGCAGTTGTTTCCAGACACAATCTGTTTATTAATAGAGGTCAGTTTTCCTGGATTCCTGGGATGCTGTTGCTAAAAAGAAATCCTATTTTTGATCAGAAAGCATAGCTCAGTGGAAGGCATGGCTAGTGTGTATGGTAACCTGCATTTGCTACCTAGCTTGCAAAGAAAGGAGACCCTGCTGGGCCTAGCGGGGCAGGGGGAATCATGGTTCCAGGCATTCTGGGCTATGGAGGGATTTCAAGGACAGTCTGGACTACTCAGCAAGACCTTCAAAAATAAAAAGTGGAGAGAGACTCTAGAGACAGAGAGGTCCAGCACATGCCTAGAATCCCCCAGCGAGGGGCTGTGTGGGGTTCAGGAGTGGAGCACTTACTTAGTGCACAGCTGGGAGTGTGTGTGGTCCCTAACACGTCAATGCAAAAAACTTGAAAAGAGAGAAAGAAATCGGCCTGGTGGTGCACGCCTTTAATCCCAGCACTCGGGAGGCAGAGGCAGGCGGATCTCTGTGAGTTCGAGGCCAGTCTGGTCTACAGAGGGAGTTCCAGGACAGGTTCCAAAACAATACAGAGAAACCCTGTCTCGAAGAGCCAAAGAGAGAGAGAGGGAAAGAGAGAGGGAGAGAGAGAGAGAACTCATATATACAGCAAGTCAAACTACAATGATTTGAACCTTTTCCTGCATTTTGAAGGATTTCTACCATCCTCACCTTGTGTCCAAGTTGTCATCTCAGAGTTTCCATTCTGTTCTACAAGAGGGCGGAGGGCTAGTTTACCTTCCAGTCCTCTACCAGAGTAGAAGGAAGGCTGTCAGTGTTCTTCTTTGCCCGGGGCCTTGGATGAATGTAGACTTAGCAAAAGCAGGGGAATCAGCTTCTTGGGAACTGACTGCCCACTGCTCTGCAAAAAGCTTTTTTATTGTTACAGAATTTACATCATTTTGTTTTTCGAGGCAGGGTTTCTCTATTTTACCACTCTGGCTGTCCTGAAACTTGCTTTGTAGACCAGAGGCTGGAGAATCCTTCAGGAAGAACTTAGGTAAGAATCAAACACTTTGGAGCTGGAGAGATGGCTCAGAGGTTAAGAGCACTGGCTGCTCTTCCAGAGGTCCTGAGTTCAATTCCCAGCAACTACATGGTGACTCACAACCATCTGTAATGAGATCTGGCGCCCTCTTCTGGCAGACAGGGATACATGCAGACAGAACACTGTACACATAATAAATCTTTATTTATTTATTTATTTATTATTATGTATACAATCCTCAGCCTGCATACCAGCAGAGGGTATCAGAGCTCATTCAAGGTGGTTGTGAGCCACCATGTGGTTGCTGGGAATTGAACTCAGGACCTTTGGAAGAATAATCAGTGCTCTTAACTGCTGAGTCATCTCTCCAGCCCCCATAATAAATCTTAAAAAAAAAAAAAAGAATCAAACGCTTCAAACAAAAGGTAACAACCACAAAAGGTTGTTAGCCTGATGGTAACACTTCAGATTTCAAGCCAGATGCAGGGTCTCTACAGAAGGTGTCCTATGGAAACCAGGTATGATGATGTTACATACTTATAATATCAGGCAGAAAAATCAGAATTCCAAGATCAGCCTCAGCTTTGCTGGGTTGGGGGTCCAGCCTGGGCTACACGAGGAAAGAAAAAAGTAAGAAAAGAAAACTGTGGGAGCCAAGAGTGATGATGCCGGCCTGCAATCCTGACACCTGGGGGTGTAGTCAGCCTTCGTTACTTGGGCTGAAGGAGGTCCTCGAGCCCATGGTAGTTGTGATTCTGGGGAGACAGCAGACAGGTCTTAGTGTGACAGGATCATTGCTAAGGAGCAAACTCTTCAACCCCAACCCGGCAGAAGGCAAGCTTGAGCCTCCCAAATCGATTGGGAGAAACCCCCAGCTCCCGTATCAGGCTGTTCGTGAAGCAGTCATTGTCATCTTCCTCCAGATAAGCAAAATATGGTGTCCAACAGAGCTGGTGGTGAACGACGAGCACCAAGAGTTCCCTCCGCCTGTCCTGGGGAAAGGGTACAACTTTTTAAACGGATCATGCCTGAGTTATGAAGTCAACCACGTCCGCGAGTGCCTTCGTAAAGGTGAGGAGTGGAGGACTCAGCCTGGGACCAGTCTAATCGTGATGTTGAGCTCCCTCATACCTGAAGCCAAAACAGAGTTTTGTTTTCTTTCTTTTCTTTTTTTGTTTTTTGGGGGGTTGTTTGTTTTTTTTTTTTTGTTTTGTTTTGTTTTGTTTTTCAAGACAGGGTTTCTCTGTATTGCTTTGGAGGCTGTCCTGGCACTCGCTCTGTAGACCAGGCTGGTCTCGAACTCACAGAGATCCACCTGCCTCTGCCTCCCCAGTGCTGGGATTAAAGGCGTGCGCCACCAACTCACAGCCTGCAAAAACAGCTCTCAAGAACTACATTTCCCAGGAGGCCCAGGGACATCTATCTTCTTAAACCACACCACCTATTCCACACCGGTGCTTCTGGGAATTGTAGTCTTTTTGGTGTTTGGTGTGGGTTTTGAAAGGCTCTTCCTGTGCTCTCTCCTTCCAGGTCTTAAGGAAAGTCCTATAGTTCCTCTGGCAGAGAGTGAGCTCTTGGCTGAAATCCTTGAGGAGGCGAGGAAGGCTATTGGAGTCACCTTCCCCCAGGATAAATGCTGATGCTACTCCTGGGTTGTACGTGGCAAGCGATAATTTTTCTACTTGGGACACACTAGCTTGACCCTCGTTGCTTTGGAGTTATTTTTGCAAAGCAGCCTCCTATAAGACAGCTTGCTTTTGTTTTTTTTTTATGCCTCAAACTACTTTTTATTTGCAACTACATGATTTCACGAAATTCTAATAATCACATAAAATAGATTTCCTTGTGTATAAATAACATACTCTCCATAACGTAAATGCTCAAAGGTGCTAGAACACATCACCCACTCCTACAATGCTTTTGAATCCAACAGAGTCGATGCACAACAAATAAATACTTAAGTCCAATATTAAAAACTCAGGCAGTTGACTAACTTTAATAAAGGTTCTCAAACTATTTCAGTATATCTGAAGAGTATATATATATATATATATATATATATATATAGACTTTTTAAAACAAGATTATTATCAATAACTTTTCTATAAAAATAAGTTTGATGGTTTAGTCCATCTAACTTCACGACAAGTATGAACTTTTAGTACACAGCAAGGAATATTCTTCTCTCAACATGACGTTGACACAATCGAAGGAGCTAGTGAGGAGCTAACATGTAAGGGTTAATCCAGTGATGGACTCCGGTCACATGTTCCAGGAGGAGGTACCCATGGCACTGGAATTGGACGGTTTGTTCTTCCTTCCTGGGTTTGGAAGAGGATGGTGACTCTGGCCATTCCTGCGGTACATTCTTGGCGTTTTTCTGGCAATGGGTACCACATTGGAAGAGGTGGGGGATATCAGTTCTGAAGTCTGGCACACGGGGCTTGGTGCTGGCTTAGTCCTCACTGTACACGCAGTCATCGCCTGTCCTGCAGCCCACCTGGGTGCTTCTTTGGGACCTTTGAGTGAAAGGGTTTCTGGTCCAAGGGTATCTTGGTGGTCTGGAGTTAAAGAACATCACCGTCACACCACGTAAGAAACCTCATTCAAGAGCTTTATTGGGGCAAAACCCAGGATGGCATAACAGAGCAGTGGGCTGGGCAGAGGGGCAGGATCATTTTCCTACAATGAGAACCCAAAATGACCCTGAAGGAATGTGGGATGCCTGGTGACTAATACTGCCAGGGTGACACTATGTCATGTGACTCTGTCCATCCTGCTCTCTTTCCTGGAGATTGTTTCTTTGCTAGGAAGTGAGTGAGGATGGGGTGGCAGCCGGGTATACTGGTGCACGCTTTTAGCTTTTAATCCCAGCACTCAGAAGGCAAAGACAGGAGGATCTCTATGAGTTATAGTAAGTTCCAGGCCAGCCAGTTACGAGGTGAGACCCTAGAGAGGGGATGGAGGGGCTGGGGAGGGCGGGTGGAGGCAGACAGAGACACTGCGCTGCAGTGATGACTCAGTTGACAGTACTTGTTGGTCTTGAAGAAGATACAGATTCAGTCACAGGGTGGTTCACAGCTGTCTTTAGCCCCAGCTCAAGAGAACCCCGATGGGTCTCCTGATCTCTATGGGCACACACACATACTCGTAGGCTGCTAGGTCCCAAGCCCTGGGACAAACTGCTGAGGGCTGCCAGCTTCTCCCAGAACCCCTCGTCCCCGCCCGTCGTGGGAGACAACACGGAACAGCCCACCCTCAGCCCTGACCTCTCCACCCAGGGCTGGGCTGCCCTTCCCCCAGAGGCTCTTCCCTATAGAACCCAGGCATTCTGGTTACCCGCCCATTTTTGTATCTTTGCTTCTTGTCTGTTGCACCTGGTTTCCCCGTCTCCCTCTTCCCTGTCCCCCCTCCTCTTCCCACATGACCCAGGTCAGTCTGGTCAGGTCCACTGTGGACTCTTCCAGATGTTCCTGCCTCTATCACACTCTTCTTTTATCTACAATAAACTTTCTCCTCCACAAACCTAGGAGCAGTCAAGTCCTTTCTTTTACATTTCTTTTTTTTTTCACTCACAAGTAAAAGATTCATACATATAAAATAAATACATCTAAAAAAATTAGCCAGGGCCGGGCGTTGGTGGCGCACGCCTTTAATCCCAGCACTCGGGAGGCAGAGGCAGGCGGATCTCTGTGAGTTCGAGACCAGCCTGGTCTACAGAGTGAGTTCCAGGACAGGCTCCAAAGCCACACAGAGAAACCCTGTCTCGAAAAACCAAAAAAAAAAAAAAAAAAAAAAAAAAAAATTAGCCAGGTGGTTTGTAGTGCACACCTTTAATCCAAGCACTCAGGAGGCAGAGGCAGGTGGATCTCTGAGTTCAAGGCCAGCCTGCTCCAGAGTGAGTTCCAGAACAGTCAGGACTACACACAGAAACCTTGTCTCAAAAAACAAAAAAGCAAAAACATCCCAGCACTCGGGAGGCAGAGGCAGGCGGATCTCTGTGAGTTCGAGGCCAGCCTGGTCTACAGAGCGAGTTCCAGGACAGTCTCCAAAGCCACAGAGAAACCCTGTCTCGAAAAACCAAAAAAAAAAAAAAAAAAAAAAAAAAGCAAAAACAAAACTAAACAAAAAACCCAAAAAACAAATGAACAAAGAAAAAATTAGAGTGGCTGTGACTGCTGGAGCCCACAGCCTGTGTGACTACCCACAAGCAGAGAAAGTATGTGGGTCGCAGACATCCTCTTTCAACTGGCTATTGTATTTTCATCAACAAACAAGAGACTACATCCTGTCTGGCAGTGATTCATTGGGGTCTCAGCTTTAACAAAATACAGAGCTTTGGGCTGGAAAGTCCCAGCAGTTAAGAGTACTTGCTGGCCAGGCATTGCTGGCACAGGCACTTAATGCCAGCACTCCAGAGCAGAGACAGGCAGAGCTCTGTGAGCTCTCTATGAGTTCCAGGACAGCCAGAGTTGTTACACAGAGAAATCCTGTCTCGAAAAAACAAAACAGCGCTGGGAGTTGGTGGTGCACGCCTTTAATCCCAGCACTCAGGAGGCAGAGGCAGGTGAATCTCTGTGAGTTCAAGTCCAGCCTGATCTACAGAGCGAGTTCCAGGACAACCTCCAGAGAAATCCTGTCTCAAACACACACACACACACACACACACACACACACACACACACACACACAAAGAAAGAAAACCAAAACCACATGTTGGGCGGTGGTGGCACATGCTATCCCAGCACTCGGGAGAGGCAGGTGAGTTTGAGGCCAGCCTGGTCTACAAAGTCAGTTCCAGGACAGCCAGGGCTACACAGAGAAATACTGTCTTGAAAAAACAAAAATAAATTAAAAAATTCTTGGTGGTTTTCTCTCATCATATTATGCATGGTGGACACTCTGCCAAGGACACTCTATAGCTCAACAACCCACTCTCTTAAAAAAAAATAAAATCAGGGCTGCAAAGGTGTCCCAGAGGTTAAGAGCACTTGTTGCCTTGCAGAGGACCGGGGTTGTATCGCCAGCACCCACATGGTGGATCACAGACATCTGTAACTCTAGTTCTAGACCCAGCATCCTCTTCTGACTCCCATGGACACCAAGCATACACACCAAGCATAGGCATGCAAGCAAAACACCAATGCACATAAAAAAGTGAATAAATCTTAGGCATTGAATGATACATTTGAGGGATGGAGAAATGGCTCCACTGAGCACTGGCTACTCTTCCTGAGGTCCCGAATTCATTCCCAGCCACCACATGGTGGCTCACAATGATCCACAATGAGATCCGGTGCCCTCTTCTGGCCCGCAGGCGTACATGCAGGCAAAGCACTATAAAATAAATCTTAAAAAAAAAAAGATACATTTGGAGACAACCATGAGTCAATAGGTGTTCTAGATCCTAGGGAATTGAGAAGAAATAAATACAGCCCTTTTGGGAAATCTACGTAGGTGAGAGTCACCAACAATCAACACTGCACATATAATTACAGTGATGTTATTAAATTCTTTGGCAGTCTTCCTGTTTCACTCTCTTCAAGACTGATGATCTTCTGGGTGTTGGCCATCACCCTGGTCTGCTTTTGTTATTTGTCTTGATTTTTTCCAGATTAGTTAAGGTTACAATCCTTGCTGGCTCCTTCCTAATGCGGGATGACGAATGAACACCATCACCACTGGTTTCGGTTTTTTTGTTTTTGTTTTTGTGTTTTGAGACAAGGCTTTGTTGAATATCGTAAGCAGGCCTTGAATTCGGCGTAATCCTTCTGCCTCAGCCTCCGTAGTGCTCTCTACTACAAGGCTATGAAAAAAACAAAGGAGGACGCAAACTCTAGGAACCGGTTTGGCTTCAGGCAGAACTGCGCACGCGCATTCTAGTGACATAGGCCCCCTCACCCCGCGCGGGGCGGGGCCATGTTGCGGGGCACCCACGTGAACGGCGCACGTCCGCGGCCGGTCACGTGACCTGGGCGCGCTGCAGCCGCCCGGGGCGCACCCGGCGAGAGGCAGCGGCGATGATGGACGGGTCGGGGGAGCAGCTCGGAGGCGGCGGTGAGGCGGGAGGCTGAGGACGAGGCCCGGTGGAGGGAACCCGGGATCCCGTCGGCTCTGGGCTCGGGCGGGAGCGGGCTGGGGCGCGCGGATCCACTCCGCCAGGCGCACCCGCACCCCGAGAGAGAGCGGACATCCGCGTGCGCGCCCCCGGGCAGGCCCGGGCTTGTCGCCGGCGCCACTTCCTGCTGGTGGCCTGGGCTGGGCCGGGTCCCAGCGCCGCCCCTCGGGCCGGGAGTCTGTTTGCTCTTGGTCCCCTGTCCCAGTCTTGGAGGAGCTGGGATGCAGGCCGGGTCCCGCCCCCTGTCCATCAGTAGCAGTCCCCGGGCGTTCCATGCTGCCTCTCACCGCTCGGACACTGAGTTCTCCCCGTCAGGGTCATGAGCCTCCCCAGCCCCCTGATTCCTCCCGGAACCTAGGAGTCCAGGCACGCCTTTCCTCCTCTCTCCACCAGGGCCCACCAGCTCTGAGCAGATCATGAAGACAGGGGCCTTTTTGCTACAGGGGTGAGTGAGGCGCCGTTGTGGTGGGGCGGGTTCAGGAGCAACACTCGGTTCTCACTCTGCGCCTCCCTCCCCCACTTCCATTCACATCTAGTTTCATCCAGGATCGAGCTGGGAGGATGGCAGGGGATACACCTGAGCTGACCTTGGAGCCGCCGCCCCAGGATGCATCCACCAAGAAGCTGAGCGAGTGTCTCAGGCGAATCGGAGATGAGCTGGACAGCAACATGGAGCTGCAGAGGTGTGGTTCCTGGAGCCTGGGGTCCATCCAGGGATTTCCTGCCCCCTCAAGACCGCAGGCACTGTACATGCTTGTCCCCCCAAGGGACCGGGTGTCCACCACTGACTTCGGGCACTCTGTGCTAGGGATAGAGTTCAGGGTCTCCTTACATGGTAGGCCAGCCCTTACCCTCGAGCCGCAGCCCCAGCCCTGTGCAAGTCTTCTCTGAGTCACTGGAAGGTTCTCCGTAGGTGCTCTGCTGCTGGGCCGGGCCCACAGCCCTTGGTTGGTGGATTCTAGGCAGGCTGTACTTTTTAAGTCTCTCACTGGTGGATGCCGCGCACATACTCTTCCGTAAACCCACATCACTGGCAGACGCCTGCGGGTGCTCTGCCGCTGGCTCCGACACCTCCTGATGGGTCACAGGCAGGTGTCAGCCAGTGAGCCAGACCTCAGCGCCACTCACGGTAGATGTGCTAACCCTCCACTCATAGATAGTAGGAGAGCATGCTTGAGGCCCCAGTCAGTGACTCCCCAGGACTTTGAAACTAAGGCAAGGTACCATTCGCTGTCTTTGCTTTCTTAGGTGTCTTGTCCCCCTCCTAGCCCCTGTAATCTCCCCTTTCAGCTTGGCTCTGACCTTTGTTTCCTTATCTTTAGTCTGGGGAGGATGTGGGAACTCCCGTACTGAAGCTGACCATCCTGCCCAGCATCTGTCCCTCTCTTTCCTGCAGGATGATTGCTAATGTGGACACGAACTCCCCCCGAGAGGTCTTCTTCCGCGTTGCGGCTGACATGTTTGCCGATGGCAACTTCAACTGGGGCCGGGTTGTTGCCCTCTTCTACTTTGCTAGCAAACTGGTGCTCAAGGTGGGCAGCTACAGGGCGCTGGGCTCAGAGACGCGCCCGCAGGTCTGTGGGCACCTGGGGGTGCTGAGGCCCAGGGGTGGAGGAGGAAGGGGGCTGTGTATTCAACAGACGTATTGATGGCCTTGACCCCAGCTCCTAGCCTCTGCCCTGAACAAAACAAGCTAAGCCGTGGCGGAGCTCTGGTTGGTCAGCAGGTGTGAGGTTGAGGTAAGGTACAATATTGAGATGCATCAGAGAAGTCTAGGGAGATTTCTTAGGGTAGGTGGCCTGAAAACTGGTGTGGCTTAATGCCTGCAATTCTAGGACTCAAGAGGCTGAAGTAGGAGTGTCACAGTTGAAGGTTTACTGCAGCTAAATACTGAGTTTCAGGCCATCTTGGGCTACCTAAAACCTAGTTTGAAAAAAAAACCAAACAGACCTCAGAAATGGGCATGATAGGAGAGAGGGGTGTGGCTGAGTAGTGGGGCCTCAGCACAGCATATGTGAAGCCTTGGACTCTATCTACCATCACCATATACAAATACAAAAAGGTCCTGGTGGTGGTGGTGGCGGCGGCGCAAGCCTTTAATCCCAACCCTGGGGAGGCAGAGACAGGCGGAGCTCTGAGTTCAGGGCCAGCCTGGTCTACAGAGCGAGTTTCAGGACTGGGCTGTTACACAGAGAACCCCAGTCTGAAAAACACACACACACAAAACCAATAACAACAAAATACAGAAAAGGGCTGGGAGTAGGGCTCGGTTGAGGCCTTGCCTGAGTACGGCTCGGTTGAGGCCTTGCCTGGCACCTGGCATGGGTGTGACTGGAACATATCTGCAGTTCTAGCGCTTGTTTGGACCTAGGAGGGTTAGGAGTTCAAGGTCCTTTAGATCTGGAAAGCATTCAAGACCAGGCGGTGGCAGGATATGTTAGAGCAGAGAGACTGAGGCAGATCTGTTTCCTTCCATATTTTGTTTGTTATTTTTAGTGGCACTGTCATATGCTCAGTACACTCTGACCATCGTCCATGCCATCGTCCATGCCGCCACATCTGCTTGATGTGGTTTCTTGCTGAGCTGATGGGACTTCAGTATTGGAGGCAGAAGGATAGTGGTCTGAGCAGTAGTCCCCTTGGGATCCCAAGTACTGGCTGGGAAGAGAGCATTGTTCCAATCAAGAGAGCAAGTCCTGACTGCCAGTAGGTGGTCTTATCTGGTCTTAAAAAACTCTCTAGGGCTGGAGAGGTGGCTCAGAGGTTAAGAGCATTGGCTGTTCTTCCTGAGGTGCTGAGTTCAATTCCCAGCAACCATCTGTAATGAGATCTGGTGCCCTCTTCAGAAATGCAGATGTATATGCAGGGAGAACACTGTACACATAATAAATAAATACATCTTTTAAAAAAGGGAACAGCCGGGCGGTGGTGGCGCACGCCTTTAATCCCAGCACTCAGGAGGCAGAGGCAGGCGGATCGCTGTGAGTTCGAGGCCGGGCTGGACCGACAGCCTCCAAAACAATACAGAGAAACCCTGTCTCATAAAAACCAAAAAAAAAAAAAGGTGGAGGGACAGAGCCTAGCCTCTCTAGAGGTGGCTTAGGACCGAGAATTGCTGGGTCGCGGCTTGTTCAGTCAACCTGCATCAGAGAAATAGACATGAAGAGGTGGATTGCCAGAGCTCTCAGTGTGTGTATCTCCCAGCAAGCTATGGCAAAAGAATGGCTTTAGTCCACAAGTTCCAGATCAAAGGAGCAAGACTGGAGCAGGTCTTCACATGGGCATTGTGGGCTTTCCCAGATCACCATTGTTCCCAGGGACCCAGAAGTACAACTTAGTCCATTACAGTCCTGGAACTCCGCCTCCTTGTCCTTCCAAAGAACCAGGTGTCTGGGCCAAGAGTGGTGGCATCATAAACCTTTAATCCCAGCACTAAAGGGCAGAGACAGTTGGATCTGTGAGTTCTAAGCCAGCCTGGTTTACACAGAGAAATCCTGTCTCAAAAAACAGACAAAAACCAAAACCTAGGTGTCTTGCACCCTGCAAGCCAGCTCAAACATCCTGCTCCTAGCTCTCTTCCTCTCAGTGTTTGTTTTGGGTGCTGGGGATAGAACCAGGGGCACATACATGCTAGCTAGGATACTACTCTTCCTGTCTTCCAGTGTTTATCTAGAGGGCAGTGAGGAGTCCTGGGGAGGAGGGGGAGAGACTGCTTAGTAGAGATTGAAAGCAGAGGCTTGGGACCACCTCCAGGAGTGTGCACAGGACTCAGACCTCTTGTGTAACCTTCCCGCTCCCTGCAGGCCCTGTGCACCAAAGTTCCCGAGCTAATCAGAACCATCATGGGCTGGACACTGGACTTCCTCCGAGAGCGGCTGCTTGTCTGGATCCAAGACCAGGGTGGCTGGGTGAGACCCCTCAGTCCTTGTCACACTTTAGACCAGTGGCTCTCAACCTTCCTAGTGCAGTGACGCTTTCATACAGTTCCTTGTTGAGGTGACTCCCAACCATAAAAGTATCTCATTGCTGCTGCCAGAAATCATAATGTATGGGCGTTGGTAGCGCACACCTTTAATCCCAGCACTCGGGGGGCAGAGGCAGGCGCGTCTCTGTTGAGTTCGAGGTCAATGTAAATATCTGATATGTAGGATGTCTGAGATGGGACCCCTTTTGGGGGGTCTTGACTCACAGGTTGAGAACCACTTCTGTAGAACCAAGGGCCACCGCAGAGGCCTAAGATACCTGTCCTTACATCTCCCTGCCCGCCTGCCGCACCTGGTACCCGTTGACTTTTTTGTGACCTGACTTGATCCCTACCATCAGAAAGCTGCCTTCCTTCCCTTCCAGGAGCCCTAAATGCACGGTGACCCCTGACCCCAGCTTGCTTTTTCTTTTTTGAGATCGTCTCATGTGTCTCAGACTGGCCTCAAACTTTGTAGCTGAAGGCGCCCTTGAACTTGTGATCATCCTGCCAGTTTGTGAGGCCCTGTGCTCTCCAGCTCAGCTGCAGCCTCTGTCCTCCTTTCTCTTGAGACAGGGCCATGTGTGTAGCTCAAGGCTGGTCTGGAAGGTACTGTGTAGCCCACACTAGTCCAGTCTTACCCCCTCACGTGCCGGATAACAGGTGTGGGCCCCCACTTCCAGATTGGAATCATTTTGTTTTTCTGTTTTGGGATTGTGTGTTGGGGGGCATGTTTGTATGCTTGTGTGGAAGTCGGGGTAGTTTGCCTCCTACCCTGTTGGCTCTGGGGATGGAGTTTGAGTTGCTCAAGGCCTGGCGACACGCACCTTTCCCACATTAGCCCTCTCGCTGACCCTGGGTTGTTTGGGGTTCCTGAGACAGGGTTTCTCAGTGTATCTATCCCTGGCTGGTGTAGGATATGCTGATCGTGAACTCGGGGACCCACCTGCCTCTGCCTCTCAGTACTGTTTTTTGAGTGAGAGTATCAACACTTTTCCCAGGTTGACGTTAAACTTGTAAGCCTCCTGGTTTAGTTCCTGAGTGCTGGTGCTGTGACTATAGGCCTGGGATCCCCAGAGCATTTCCTCACGTGACCTCTGCCGCACCCCACCCTTCCCCTGCAGTTTGCTGTTGAAGTAACACAGGTGTTTCTGTTCCCAGGATGGCCTCCTCTCATACTTCGGGACACCCACCTGGCAGACAGTGACCATCTTTGTGGCTGGAGTCCTCACTGCCTCACTCACAATCTGGAAGAATATGGGCTGAGGCCTCCCTGCCCGCTGCCTTGGACTGTCTTTTCTTCATAAATTATGGCATTTTTCTGGGAAGAATGGGGATGGGGACAGGCATTTTTCTTACTTTTGTAATTATTGGGAGGGGTGGGAATGGTGCCTGGGGGAGGGGACAATAAACCTCAGGTCCACTTTGGAGTGTATGGTCCAGTGTCCACCCAGCTGGCATCACAATCACAGACACTGGGCCCATTGTCCACCTGAGGCAGCCAAACAGGGACTTGGAAGACACCGCTCAGTGCTGTCCTTACCCTGGGGACAGGCATTGTAAGCCGCAGGCCTGGGAGGCCAGAGGCATTGGAGCAAACTCCTAGGTGCAGAATTGCCAGAGGCACCAAAAGAGACAGGGAAAGGAGGATATTTGAGGGGGACTTGGTCCTTGGCTTCCTATTAGTTTCTGAGGCCACACTCCCTAACCCTGACCCTGCCTTCAGCGTCTCTTGCACCCCTCCCTTCCCGTTCTCTTTTCCACCTTTACTGCCTCATCCAGGCCTGTCAGGGTCCATTGGAGGCCGAAGATCAGGCTCTGAAGTGCTGTGGTTAATGAGTAACTCTGGCCCCCAAATCAACAGGGCACCGCAGACATCAAGTCAGGAGAAAGATATGTGTAGGACAGCCACCCCCAGAGATAAAACTGCCCAAAGGGAGCCAACCACAGGGGCCACAGCCCCCACCAAGGCCCTCAGAGCAGGGGGACAACAGGCTGCCAGCCAGGGTGAGGTCAGTGCCCTACCCCATAACCACCACGGAGCTGAGCTCAGCGTGACTCAGCAGTGTGGTCTGGGCCACAGTTCGCACCAAGGTCCGCAGCAGCATGTGGTGGGCCATTTCCCAGACCCCAGGGCAGCACCCACGACCAATCTTTCTAGTTTCTTGAATTAGCACCTCTCCCTCGATGGGCAGTTCTCTTGAGTTTGCCCTCCTCAAGTCCCCGAGGTTGAAATCCTGGTATGAGCCCGTCCTGTCGTACTTGGGACCTAGCATGTATTTGGCTGAAGACAATCTGGTCCCGAGTTCTCGTCCTCAAGACTGGGATTTCTCCAAAAGAGCAAGCTGCCTCCAGGAAAGGCAGCCCAGAAATTCCCCAAGGCAACACTCTTTCTATGCAAAGCTGAGTTCCTAGAAAAACAGGTCTCCTGACGGAGTACCATGAGACCCAGTCCAGCAAGCTGACCAGGACTCCATGTGTCACCTTGCTTTTCCAGAGCACCGGAGATAAGAGCACAAGCGATAACCCAGGCTCTCTAATTACCCTTTCCATCCTGCAGGCAGCCTCTAGGCTTCAGAACCTCCCTTAGAAGGTTCCAGAAAAAAAGTTTTCACCGAGAACCTAGAACCCTAGAATTCTGGGCGCCCCTCCCATACCAAACATCCACGTGGGGCAAGTCTTGAGCACACGGGGGTTCTCTTTGCACTACGGATGCCCCCCACCCACACTCCTGTTCGCTTGAGCCCCAGAGCCGCCTTTTGTGAGGCACACCCAAAGGGCTTCAACGTTATCCCTTCCCGGGGGGTCGCAATGACCCCGCGGTCTCGAATCCCTGGAGGTCTCGGAAACGCGGCCCCCGAGGCCGCCCCCCTCCCGACCCTCCCCCAAGCCTCCATTTCACAACGGCCTCGCGCTCCGGGCTCGTGACTCCCCGCCCACCACGAGGGGAGGGTGGGGCCGAGAGTCCCCCCCAGTTCAGGATTGGCCAGGTAGAATCCTCCGGCTCCGCCCCACGCCAGCGCCAATTGGCTAAGCCCTGTCTCGGCCGTCCCGCCCCCGGGCGGGGTCAGCGCCCTATAAAGGGAGCCGTCCGGCCGCCAGCCGCCGAGCATCGTCGGAGGTCCCGTGGGTCTGCGTCTTGCTTCAACAGTGTTTGGACGGAGCAGCCCCGGGGACTCCCTTTGCTTCCAGCCGCTTCCCAGCCTCTGCAGCCGCCGCAGCCTTTGGGACCGTCTCCTCGCCGCCCTCGGCGCCCAGGACCAGTCAGCACCGTCACTTTGCGGCTCGCTCCCCACAGCGCATCAGCCATGGCCTCCCAGATCCGTCAGAACTACTCCACCGAAGTGGAAGCCGCCGTGAACCGCCTGGTCAACCTGCACCTGCGGGCTTCCTACACCTACCTCTCTCTGGTGAGTACGGGCCGCCCGCCGCGCTCGGCCCGCACCCTCCCCGCCGCGCATGCGCGGGCCCCTTTGTTCCGTCCAGGGCGGCGACCTCGTGCCCCGGCCTCCCCTGGGCCCCGCAGCCCGAGTTTATTTTGACCAGAGTGGCTTCGAGATCGCGGAGCGCCTCGCCCGCCTCCCGAGGGTTGCGCCACCACGCCGCGTTAACTGGTGTGCAATCTCCCTCCCCGCAGGGCTACTATTTTGACCGGGATGACGTGGCGCTGGAGGGCGTGGGCCACTTCTTCCGCGAATTGGCCGAGGAGAAGCGCGAGGGTGCCGAGCGTCTCCTCAAGTTTCAGAACGACCGCGGGGGCCGCGCACTCTTCCAGGATGTGCAGGTAAGAGCAGCCGCGGACACCGCACCCACGCGATCCCTTGGTTTTGAGCCGGTGACGGTCCGACTGCTGGGACGCTCTGCCTTCCGTCCTTGAGGGGGGTGTCGTGTGCTGGGGATTGGCGGCTCACACGCCAGGACCCCGCGTGGGCTCTGGGCGAGTGGGTAGAGGCACCCGAACGCCTGTGTCTCAAGAGGTTGCAAGACGCAGTGAGAGTTCAGCCCGCCGTGCTGCTGTGATTCGGGGGCGGCAGGGTCTCACCTCGTAGCCCTGGAACTCATGGTGTAGACCAGGTTGCCTCGCAGCGTGGAGATCGCCTGTCTGCTCCCAACCCTTTGGTGGGGTCAGACGTGGGCCAAATGCTTCTCCGCCGTGCACACGTCCCTGTGTAGTCAGTTTATCTTCAGCAGGGTGTAAGGCTGCTTCTAACCTTCTATTCTCTGTGTAGAAACCATCTCAAGATGAGTGGGGTAAGACCCAGGAAGCCATGGAAGCTGCCTTGGCCCTGGAGAAGAACCTGAACCAGGCTCTCTTGGATCTTCATTCCCTGGGTTCTGGTCACACGGATCCTCATGTAAGTTCCTTGCTAATTCCCTTTTCCCTTCTTTGGCGAGACGTGGCTACTGTGTTGGCTTTGCGCTCCCAATAGTCCTCCTGAGTGTAAGAACCGTACCCAGTGCTACCTGCTCTTGGGGGTTTTTATACTGAACCTCCTGTTCACAGCTTCTGACGACTGTCTTCTCTTTGCAGCTCTGTGACTTCCTGGAAAGCCACTTCCTGGATAAGGAGGTGAAGCTCCTCAAGAAGATGGGCAACCACCTGACCAACATCCGTAGGGTGGCGGCCCAGCCAGCGCAGACTGGCGCACCCCAGCCGGCTCTGGGCGAGTATCTCTTTGAGCGCCTCACTCTCAAGCATGATTAGGAGGCCTCGCCTTCCGAGGGGCTCCCTCCGCTCTGCACCAGCCAGCCTCAGGACCTTCACCCGAACCTCTCAAGCCACTAGGCAGCTTTGTAACCGCCCTGGAGCCCCTCCCAGGTCTTGGACCAAGTGAAAATAAAGCTTTTTGAAACAGCAGCTCATGATGTTTCTATACTTGTGAGGGTGTCACAGGAGGAAGAAAGGGTTGTTTTCTGTGGGAACCTGTGTCTTGGAGGAATCTCTACCTACGAGGGGCTGACACTTGCTTTCTCAGGCGATCCAGGTTCTGGGAGCTGCTGCACGCAGTCCTTGGTTTCTTTTGTTACTGTGCAGGGGAGTGAACAGGCTCCATAGGCAAGCCCTGTTACTCAGAGGATAGCAGACTAAGCATACAAAGAAAGGTGGCTAGGATTGGAAGATGAAGCCAGTTCCCTGAGAAATGCCAGTGCAAGGCATGCTGGGAGGGTGGGGTAGCCAGGGTCACTAGATGCTGAGCTGGAGATCCAGCCGTCAAAAAGTATGTGAAACTTGGGACCACTGCACAAATGGGAACTAAAACCTTGCCAAGGAGTTAGAATCATAGTGGGAGGGGTTGGGGACACTGGACAACACTGCTGTGCCAGCTCGGACCCCTTTAACATCTAAGAAGCGCTCGAGGACTATGAAAATGCATAATACACTCCGATTAGCACCTTGCCACTGTGCTGTGTGGAGACTGATGACTTTGTGGGTAATGCGGTCCCGGGCAGGAGATTCATCGTGTTCCCATGTGGTGAGGCCTGGGAACCTGGTAGAGGAAACCTGATGACATCAACTAGGAAAAGGCCAATATTGCTGAAAAACAGGGTTTTGAAGTTTTTGGCCAGAGTTCTGGGGCTAGACTCTAGGTTCTCGTTTGGCTGACATGTTGAACCACACACCCTAGGCTGCCTTTGACGTTTTGAAGCTGGGTCTTGCCAAGTTGCCCAAGCTGGCCCTAAGAACTCACTCTACAGTTAAGGTAGGCTTTGAGCTCTGGAACCTCTGCTGTACGCACCCGCTGGGACCTCCCTGTGCATATTCCATGTCAGCTACTTTCTACCCAAGAACAGCAGTGGAGTCTCAACAGTAATCCAAACTTTCCACAGAAACAGGAGACAAGATCGCGGAGCAGGCAAGGGCGGAACTAAAACCAGGAAGAAGCTGGGACTCCTGGTGTGTGTAAATGCCAGCACTGGGGTGCTAAGAATTTGAGCTACCCTGGGGCATGTGGCAAGAGTAAAAACTAAACTTACACGCATAGAGACTTGGGGGGTGAGGAAGGAGACCGACCACACTAGAGTTCATGTCCTGCTACACTTGCAACTCTTAAATACGGGTATATTTTTTCTCTGGACACACTCCAATCACACACCTTCTGCCCTCCCCCTCCAAATGCAAACCAAGAAGGGCCTCAGGCCAGACACAGAAGTGAGGGGCCTGCCCATCCCCTGAAGCTGGGGCAGGACGAAGCTTGCAGGCAGAAAGGCCTCGAGGTACATGTGGGGCTTCAAGAAGCCAGTGGGCTCTGTTCCAGATCAGGAAAGGGGGCCAGGGTGCAGCACAGTGACCAGACCCCCGACTCAGGCACTGGGAGCCAGAGCCCAGTGGTGTCAGGGTGGGTTGAGCAGGTTGACAGCCATTCTGTCCTCGGCGTTTCCTGGAGGGGACACTGGACCAAGGGGCAGAATAAGCTCCGCTCCAGAAAACGTCGGAAAGGTGGCTGCTAACTCGGCGTGCTCTCTTGAAGAAATGAGCATGCCACAGGCAGGGAGGCTAGGCTGGCAGCCTGTCCTGGCATCCGAGCTGTGGGTTGAAATGGAGGACCATCAGCACTGCTGCCTTTACCTCTGTTTGATTTTGAGATGGCCTCTCAGGGTGCCGAGCCTGGTCCTGAACTAACTCCCTAAGCAGCCGAGGAGGGCTTTGCACCCCTACTTACTGAGTGCTAGAACTGCAAATGTGCATAGCTACACCAGGGTTTTGAGGTGTTAGAGTTAGATCCCAGGGCGTCGGCATGCTGGGTAAGTACTCCGACAGCTGAGCTCCCTTTCTGGGCCCATATTCAACTGTTAATCCCTGAGGGGGTCCTAACTCTGAACTTGGCTGTCCCAGTTGCGGGGAGGTCACAGACTTTTTACATGAGGTGGTCCTGGGGGCAGGCCGGCACAGAGCATACTTTGTGTAGGATCAAATGAAGCTGCAGCCTGGAAAGCAATAAGCCAGGTGTCCTAAAACCTCTGGCACCGAGGGACACAGGCAGATTCCTGGCTTCTGGGACCCAGGCTGAGCCTGGAGACTCCAGAGCACAAAGAATGAGTTTTGCAATCCGAGAAAGGCACCGCGGTGAGGAGTGTTGGGGACTCCAGGACTGGAGCCCGAGGGCTGGAGTGTCTGAAACAGGTTGGGCAAGAGTCCCACTCAGGTCGGGAGTGGGTTCCGGCACCCTCCCTCTGCAGGAGGGACACGGGACAGGCAGGGAGAGGCTTAGTTGCGCTCCTCGCCCACGGAACCGGTAGGGCTCAGGGGCTCAGTGGGCGTGCTGAGTGAACTGGAGGGTCCAGTGTCCACCGAGTTGCTCCTCTTGCTTCCGCCTGTGGAGGAGGAACAGGAGGCGCGGCGTGGCCACTCCGGTGCTCGGATGTTGCGGCGGTCCTTGGCGGCTTCTTCTTCTTCATCGTAGCGCTCACTGTCGTCCCCCAGGGGTCCATCCCGGGGCTCTTCCTCGTCCTCACTCTGGTGTGGGCTGGAGTGTCGCGACAGCGAGGGCGATGGTGGCACGGAGGCTGGCCGTGGGTATCGGTACCCCTGGGTCTGCATGCCGCAGAGTAGACACAGAGTGAACGGGCGCTGCATCCACCGACCCTCCGTCCCAGGGCGGCCAGTCCCCGCCCAGCACGGGTCCCGCTCCACTTACCGCGTCGACCTCATGGGGCTCATAGGTGAAATGATCCGGAAAGGCCTTGGCCAGAGCCATGTGGCGTGCAGACATGTAGTACTGGGTGGAAAGGAGGGCAAGCTGTGTCAAGGGCGGGTTACACCCCAGCTACGGTCGATAAATCCCGGATGCTTTGTTTTGTTTTTTTTGAGACAGGGTTTCTCTGTGTAGATCTGGCTGTCCTGTCAAGTTCAGAGATCCACCTGCCTCTGCTTCCCAAGTGCCGTAATTTAAGGTGTAGGCCACCACTGCCCCGTCCTTTTTTTAAAAACAAGAGCCAGGTCCTCAGGTCATCACTGGGGACAGTGAAGCAGGGTCTCTATACTGCGCCACTCCTCTGGGATCTAGATAAGGGTCTACAACCTACCCACACTGGCAGTTCCCCGGCCGGTACTGTCACTGGTGGGTTCCAGGCAAGGCTCTGCAGCTGTCACTTGGTACTTAGCCTAGGCTGGAGTACAGAGTGGCTCTACCATCTCCCCTTCTCAGCCAGGCCCCATCTGCTACACCTTTATGCAAACAAGCGCACTGGGCAGACTTATCTCCAGTGAAAATGTCCTTATGTAAATGCAGATGCTCCATGTGGGCTAGGCGTGGGCAATCCTCCAGTCACACCTTACCAGAGGGCAGAAAATCCTCACATCAAGTACTGTTCTGGCCACACTACATGCAAATGAAAAGAACTCTGGCCAGATGCTATTTCTAGATTTTTTTTTCCCCTTTTGGTTTTTTGAGGGAGGATCTCTTTGTGTAGCCCTGGCTGTCCTGGAACTGGTTATGTAGACCAGGCTGGCCCTGGAACACCCAGAGCCACCTACCTCTGCCTCCAAGTACTTTAATCAAAGGTGATCATTACTACACCTGGGTTTCTTTTCTTTTAAGATTTATTATTACGTATGCAGTGTTCAGCCTGCATGTATGTATGCCTGCAGGCCAGAAGAGGGCACCAGATCTCATTACAGATGGTTGTGAGCCATCATGTGGTTGCTGGGAATTGTGAACTCAGGACCTCTGGAAGAGCAGCCAGTGCTCTTAACCTCTGTGCCATTTTCCCAGCCCCTATACCTGGCTTTCTTTTCCTTTTCTTCTTTTTTTGTTTTTGGTGTCTGTGTGTGTGTGTGTGTTGTGTGTGTGCTGCGCCCGCACCACAAGCCACTCCAAGGTATCAGGAAAAGAGAGACAAGACGTCCATTTGTTTGTACTAAGAGAATGCATGTGTTGCCTTTATTGCAGAGAGAGAGAGAGAGAGAGAGAGAGAGAGAGAGAGAGAGAGTGCCCTGGCCTTGACCCTCTGACATCAACATCTAGCAGGAGGAAAACAATGATCTCTTCTACCTGGGGTTTTTTCCACTGTGCTGTAAACTTGTATAAAAAGCTCCTCCCTTTTACAAGAAGGAGAGACCTGTTAGCACTTGCAATGAAGACACACACACACACACATTCTCCTGGCAATAAAGGCAACACATGCATTCTCTTAGTACAAACAAGAGGACGTCTGGTCTCTCTTTTCCTGATACCCTGGACTTGCTTGTGGCGCTGGCGCCACAATTGTAGAGGTTCCACAATTAATAAAGGAGGTACTGGTATTAAGTAAAAGAATAGGAAAAGATAAAAGTATATAGAATGGAAAATACACAGAGAGTCTGGATACTGTGTACAGTTGTGGTGTCTTCAAATTGTTTAATTGCTGAGAAAGGAACAAAAACTACTAAAAGACATTTGATTATTAATGTTGCTAAATTAATCCAACTTACATGTTTTAAAAATGCTTTGACTTCTAAATTTAAATATAAGGACAGGTTACTTGGGAAAAGAATTTCTGCTTTTGTTTCCACAGAACATAAAAAGCTGTGGGTTCCTTCCAGACTAGTATGGTTTGATGAAGCAAGACCACCTGAAGCAGTGGCCCAGGTGATCCAACACCTAAAACAGCTGAGATGATGCAGCCTTACAGACCACAAAAACAAGAACTTCAACAGGTTTCTGGGTTTTGTTTTGTTTTGTCCTGATCCCCATGGTATTTCAGCGCCCCTTAACAGCAGGAAGTAGTTTGGAAAGAACGATGCCACATTCCCAAATATTGTTTATAAATGTTTGTATATTAATGTCCTAGTCACCTGAGATGGGTGCTAATTTATATATAAAGAAGGGGGGAGATGTTGGGCCCCAGCCCCATGGGGTCTCTGAGTTGCTGGTCAGCCTACAAGTGCAACTTGTTTTCCAGTCCAAGTGCTTTCTGTTTTCTAGTCCTGGCTTACTGCCCTGGCCTTGACCCTCTGACATCAACATCTAGCAGGAGGAAAACAATGATCTCTTCTACCTGGGGTTTTTTCCACTGTGCTGTAAACATGTATATAAAGCTCCTCCCTTTTACAAGAAGGAGAGACCTGTTAGCACTTGCAATGAAGACACACACACACACACATTCTCCTGGCAATAAAGGCAACACATGCATTCTCTTAGTACAAACAAATGGACGTCTTGTCTCTCTTCTCCTGATACCTTGGAGTGGCTCGTGGTGTGGGCGCAGCATGTGTGTATGTTGTGTGCCTGTGAGTATATGTACATGTGTATGTATGCTGTGCACTTAACCAATTTCTCGTATGTCTGTATGATGGAGTTGGATCCCCTAGAACTTAAGTTACAGACATTTGTGGGCTGCCATAGGTGCTGGGAATTTAATATGGGTCCTTTGAAAGAACAACCAGTGATCTTAACCGCTGACCCATTATCTCCAAACTCCCGAGATTAATTTCTCTCTTTTTTCTTTTTCTTTTTTTAGAGACAGGGTTTCTCTATGGAGCTTTGGAGCCTGTCCTGGCACTCTGTAGACCAGGCTGGCCTCGAACTCACAGAAATCCTTCTGCCTCTGCCTCCTGAGTGCTGGGATTAAAGTCGTGTGCCACCAATGCCTGGCTCCAACATTAATTTCTTAAAGAGGCAGCAATTATTATAAGCAGGAGACCCCGCCCTATGTCCAGCTTCTTTGTTTGTTTTGAGTTTGTTTTTTTGTTATTGTTGTTGTTTTGTTTTGTTTTTGGAGACAAGGTTTCCCTGTGTAGCTGTGGCTGTCCTGGAATTCGCTCTGTAGACCAGGCTGGCCTTGAACTCACAGCGATACACTTGCCTCTGCCTCCAGACTGCTGGGATTAAAGGCGTGTGGTGCCACCACACCCTTCCAGATCCAGCCTCTTAAAGCTACAGAACCAGAGGAAGCTAAGGAAAGGGAGGTCAGTCCTACCCGGCCTAGGTACTTCCAATCTAACAGGTCGGACAGACGCTCTGTGCGATTCCGCTGGATGATGCGCTGTCGTCGGCTCTGCTGACAGAAGCTGTAGAGGAAGGAGGTGAGTTGCGAGCACGAATCATCCAGGCTGCGGAACCTTCGATCCAGAATGTAAATGCCTACAGAGGCAGTGATCAGGGTTTGTTAGGGAAAAAAAAAGTCTGATTGGGCCAGGACCCCATGCTGTCCTTCCTTGGCACTGACCGTAAGCTGAGGGATCTGCGATGTGTTCCTCCATAAAGCAGCCAAAGCCGGAGAGGTTGGTGGAAATGCTGGGGATGCCCATGACGGTGCACTCCGCTGTAGGGCCAAGAGTGGGAACCGCATACTCAACAGGTTTCTCCAGCCTGCTCCGCAAGAGATGCCTCTACATTGCCACCTGCTGGCAACTGAGCCAAGTGCACCCCTCTGCACCAGCAAGGGTGCTGAGGACATCCCCATCTAGGAAGGGGAACTAAGAGACTCAGAAAGTAAATCCGCAAAAAAGTCCGTGATGAGGAGGGTACTTATTTATGGAACGCTAACTAATACTGGAATCACATAAAGAACTTTACTTAACTATCACGACATTAAGATACAGTGTGTGTGTGTGTGTGTAGTCAGAGAGAGAGAGAGAGAGAGAGAGAGAGAGAGAGAGAGAGAGAGAGAGAGAGAGAGAGAGATTTGATGAACATGCCTATAATATAAACATTAAGAAACAGAGGTAAGGGAGGGCTGGAGAGATGGCTCAGAGGTTAAGAACACTGCTTCTTCTTCCAGAGGTCCTGAGTTCAATTCCCAGCAACCATGTGGTGGCTCACAACCGTCTGTAACGAGATCTGGTGCCCCCTTCTGGCCTGCAGGGATATATCTTTAAGCCCTAGGGAGAACTACGCACAAGTAATTGTGACCCAGCCTGGGGAGAGGAGTGGAGGGAGGAAGTTGGGAGGGCAGCAGAGGAAGCTCAGTTGGAGGTTTGCCTGGCGAGCACAAAGTGTAGGCTTGACTGTGCAGACAGGTCATGCAGTGCAGGCTTGTATTCCCAGCACTCTGGATGGAGCTCAAGACCAACCTTGGCTCCACAGCAAGTCTGAGAGACACTGGGAACAGCTTTGCTTACACAGCATCAGCTCACGGCTCTGGGGGGGTCACACATTGGCAAACTGGAGGTGGGGTTATCAGTAACAACCACTGAAAATGAACTCCAGTCTTCTAGTCCTGAGCCTTGTAGACTTGCGTGTCACAAAAATGTACCCTGGAACTGGATGGGTCCTTACCTCCACCCCTCAACTGAGGTTCACGCCGGAAAATGGACCCCCAGCACCCTGCTGCCCCTCACTCCGGCACTCACCGGGTGTGTAGCCCCAGGGCTCATAGTAGGAAGGAAAGACCCCAAGGTGACAGCCACGGACAAACTCTTCATAGTCCACCGGGAGTAGAGGGCTTGTGGAAGACAGAAACTCTGGGTGAAAAATCACCTGCCAACGTAAGAGAAGGACTTAGCTACTTCCTAACCACCCAGAGAAGGTCCATTACTCCAAACATATACAGCAAAGAGGGCAAGCAGCCAAAGACTTAAAATGAATTCAGTTGGCCTCAGAAGTTAGGGTTCTTTCTAAATAGTTCATGTGCTGGTTTGAATAAAACGGCCCTATAGGCTCATAGGGAGTGACACTATCAGGAGGTGTGGCCTTGTTGAAGTAGGTGTGGTCTTGTTGGAGAAGTGTGTCACTGGGGGTGGGCTTTGAGTTACAGAAAGCCAAGCCAGGCCTAGGGGCTCACTGCCGCTTCCTGCTGCCTGCAGATGAAGATGTAGAACTCTCTGCTGCCTCTCCAGTACCATGTCTGCCGTGTGTCGCCATGAAGATAACGGACCAAGCCTCAGAACTGTAAGCTGCCCCAAGTAAATGTTTTCTTTCATAAGAGCTGTCACGGTTGGCTGGGTGGTGGTGGCCCACATCTTTAATCCCAGCACTAGGGAGAGACAGGCAGTTCTTCGTGAATTCAAGGCCAGCCTGGCCTACAGAGTGAGTGCCAGGATAGGCTCCAAAGCTACAGAGAGACACCCTGTCTCACAAAGCAAAAACTAACAAACAAAAAAAAACAGTTGTCCTGGTCATGGTGTCTCTTCGCAGCAATAGAAACCCTAAGACAGTACAGTTGATAAATTATGGAGATAAGAATTATGACGCCCAAGGAATAACCCTGTCCCCTGCCACACCCAGCCACTGCCAGCTCTCACCTTCACGCGGTCGGCACTGCTGTTGAAAAGGCCAATTCGTCGAATGGTGGTCAGGATGGGGTCCGAGGAGTCGTCCAGCATGTTGTGGGTGCACACAGGGGGGAAGGATTGCCGCTGGGGGAGTCACAGGAGGGCGTCAAGGGAGGGGCAGGTGAGGTGAGGGGGTCAAGGGAGGGGCAGGTGAGGGGGTCAAGGGAGAGGCAGGTGAGGGGTCAAGGGAGGGGCAGGTGAAGGGGGTCAAGGGAGGGGTAGGTGAGGAGGTCAAGGGAGGGGCAGGTGAAGGGGGTCAAGGGAGGGGCAGGTGAGGGGTCAAGGGAGGGGCAGGTGAAGGGGGTCAAGGGAGGGGCAGGTGAGGGGGTCAAGGGAGGGGCAGGTGAAGGGGGTCAAGGGAGGGGCAGGTGAAGGGGGTCAAGGGACGGGCAGGCAATGGCTGCTTGCTCAGGGGCCATGATGATCAGGGGTCACCAGCAGAGGTCAACCAATTCAAGACTGGAACCCACCTTTTCCCTTTCAACTATCATGAGCAAAACAATAACAAAAAATCCCAGCTAAATTAAGGCAGGGCTGGTGTTAAGTCACTCTACAGATTATGAGGAAGTGTCTGTATTTTGCTATATACTCTTTGTTTGTCCTTCTAGAAACCCCAAGGACCCTCACTAAGATGTGACTCTACTGTCATCTCGGTTGATGTAACCATGCAACATAAACCAGAATGGCAGCAGAATGCCGACTCTGTCCCCCGGAAATTTAAATGCCCCGAGGCAAGTAGACAATTGTGTCCATTTGATAGCAAGCTATAAGGGCAGCTAGGAGTTATAGTTTTCTTATGAAAATTCATACCCCTCCCACCAGGAGTCATAGCTGCAACTCAAAGATAGATTGACAGGAAACCCTAGACCTTGAAGAGTTCTTTGCAGCTGTTACATCACCTCCTTACAGGACACACACATTGGCAGTGTATAAGGGCCAAAAACTACAACTCCCAGAAGCCTCATGTTAGCAGTATTCATAAAGGAAGCGGCTGCCTCACTTCAGAAATATTTTATGCAAAAGCACACCCTACCTCATTAATGCATGTTAGCTGTCTAGACTCCAAAACTCAGCCTCACCAATGTGGACCATAGGTACCCAAAGTACCTTGACCCGCCGGAAATGGAAGGATTCTATTCCCAGAAGCCTCAGGGACAAAGGAAGTAAGTCAACAAAGTGCAAACTGTACTTTGTGGGCCACACCTTCCTAATGTTTCCCATCCATCTAATTTCAACATCAGGAATCAGGGGCTCTGTGGGAAATAAGACTCAGCCACAGAGCTGGGCTCGGTGAGGCACACCTGTAGTCCCAGCACTCCAGAGGCAGAAACAGGCAGATCTCTGAGTTTGAAGCCAGCCTGGTCTACACAGAGAGATCCATGATAGCCCAAGGCTATGCAGAGTAAACTTGTCTTCAAAAACTACCACCAGCACCACCAACAAAAATTTATCTTGGGCTATTTCAGCCCACTAAATAGCAACTCCCTGCCACCTGTCTCTGATCTAGTAAGAGCCAAAACTAATAGATGAAATCTTTGGGGATGTATTAACTTGTGGAAACCCTAGTTTTCACCAACCGAGACTAGAAATTCATTCAGATTCATTCAGACATCATTCTAGGTCTATAGCTGGGATTTTCCTCCTTTGATACAGCCTCCTAAACTGATGTCTCCACCAAGGTATTTTTAAAAGACCTATGTTATTATTTTCTTTGTTCCATTATCATAAAATGTCAAAAAAAATGTTACTATGTTGGAACATGGTGTTCCGGGTGACCCGAATCCACGTTCCTGATCCACGGTTATACTTTGCTTTAGAATAAATTCTGTCTCTGTCTCTCTCTCTGTCTCTGTCTCCCTCTCTGTTTTTTTGAGACAGGGTTTCTCTGTGTAACAGCCCTGGCTGTCCTGGCTGTCCTAGAATTCACTCTGTAGACCAGCCTGGTCTGAACTCAGTGATCCACCTGCCTCTGCCTCTTGAGTGCTGGTATTAAAGGTGTGCGCCACCGGCCGGAATAAACACTCCTATTCCCTTTGATGTGGAAGTTGTGTTTTTACATTGACATTTCTGTGGCTCTCAGAATTGGGTCCTCTACAAAAGTCTACGCAAGAGAACAGAACTCCCAGAAACCATTGGGGCAAGAGGCCTCAGGAAATGCTGGGCATGGCCAGCACTCTTCTTGGGGTGCCTCCGTACCTGAGTGGCAAAGATGGCTCTCTTCATCATAGTGAAGTCCTCCTTGTCCAGCATCTTGTTCATGTCTGGGAGGCTCCCCCTGCAAGGGGAGGGTAGGCATTTGGGGATGAAGTCACGGGACCCTTCGGTCTGCCAATGGGAAGAGAGCCAGGGCTGGGTACTCACACTAGTAAGGATTCGTAAAGCTTCCTCCCAAACTTCTCCTTAACTGTATTGGCTGTGTCCCTGGAAGGGAGAGAGAAAACATCAGACACACCACCACCACTCACTGTCAGGCTTTGGGGGCAACAGAGAAGCCATGCCCTGGGGGGGATTTAAACTGGAGGATGGGGGCTGACTGAAGGATGCTTGAGTTCCTTGAGATGTGTGGCTGGGGACAGGTGGCCTTTCCTCTCTGGCTTCAGTGACTCATCTATGAGATGAGTGTAAAAATAGACTCAACCCCAGGCGTTGCAGAGAGCCCGAGAGGTCAGGAGAAAGCCTGGCCACAGAGCCTTCCAGAAATGTCAGCTATTATTAGGGTTCCGATGAACCTGGGACAGTGACGCTGGGCCCAGCTTTATAAACAAGAGGAGTAACATTCGGAGAGAGAAACGTCTTGGCACACAAGTTCGGAAAGACTGTCACCCTAGTATCTCATGACTTACGGTCCTCCTAGGGCTGCAGCCCACGTCCTCCCGGAACATGCTGATCCAGCCACGCTGGGGCCCTCTCCCCTTTCCCCACCTCTCCTCTCCCTGCCCCACCCATGCCCCGGAAGCCTGGCCTCAGTATGCTTGCTGCCTAGTATGACCTTGAGCCTCTGACCCTCCTGCCTCCCTTCCCAAGTGTTGGGACTGGAGAAATGGACCATCATGCTTGGTTTATGCAGTGCTGGGGATGGAACCAAGGGCCTCATGAGTGCTGGCCAAGCTCTGCCAACCGAGCTCATTTCTTGAACATGCATCTGCTCTTGCCAGGGTTACCACGTGGTAGATATTCAGGTGGAGGTGAACGGATGGGTTTCAGAGAGTCTGGCTACACAACCGGGAAGGCCACAGCGGGGGGGCAGGGCCGAAACCTCGCTGTGGATCACCTGCCCTGATCGTGTGCTCCAGCCAGGCCCCACACTTTACCGGATGACTTCACTAGGGATGGGTGTGGCACCCTGACCGTGTCAGAGACCGCCACAGAGAGACAAGCCCACAGAGCTGTCTCTGACATGGTCAGGAGAGGCCAGGACATGGACACAGTAGGTGTGGCCTGGCCAAGGACTGCTGACCACAGCTGTTTGCGCACGGCTTGGCCCTTCAGGGTTTCCACGTTGAAGTTGTTGGTCCGCGCCGGCATGATGAAGAAGGCAACGACGGTCTTCTCACTGCCATTCACCTGGGTGGAGAAGTGGAGGGACATCAGGAAGGATGCTGGGCTCCACCATGCCATCGCTGCTAAGAATTGTGGGACTTCTGACTTCCTTTTTCATAATAGAGGAGATTAAAATCAAAGTCCCCCTGCATAGGTAGGGACTCTACCACTGAGCCACGCTGCCAGCCTCTCACCGAGCCATCCCGGGCAGGGGCTCTACCACTGAGCCATACTACCCCCCCTCCGTCCTGTTTTTCATTTTGATATACAGTCTCAGAATTGTCCAGGTTGATCTTAGACTCATTCTGTACATAAAAGCTGACCTTGAGTTTTTGATCTTCCGGCTTCAGCCCCCCTCCCCCGCCCCCAGCACTGGGATAACAGGCATGTCCCACCAGACCTGACCTCTGATCTTTCTGGGTTTCTACGCTCTGCTTCTACCCAAGGGTTTCCATAGCCACCTCGCAGGTCTGTGTCCTCCCTCGCTATACACACATTGTGTCCTCTAGCTCCCCCTCACAGACCAGGCCTTACTCTGAGCAGATAGTTCAGCCGGGCCAAGGCTTCTAGGAATACATCAGCTCCCTTGTTGGAGAACTCGTAGCGGCCAGCAATAAAGAAATACAAAGTCTTGTCTAAGTTGAAGTCCAGGTGCCTAAACAAGTCACAGGAAAGAGTGAGGCCCCAGCTCCCAATCCTGCTCTGAAAACTACAAACCCCAGAAGCCACAGGGCCAAAACATTTTTAACAGTACACAGGCAATAGGGATACATGCAAGCTGTAGAATTTTCTCCTTGGATGGGTGTTTACTCTAATATCTATTTCATATCTCTAGATATCAAGAAATAATGGAGGCCATAGCTGTCCTGGACCAAAGGACAAGGGAATCCCAGCCTTCACCCTCTCCCTGAGACTAGGGAGTCTTCTTTGCTGGGGACCAGGGGTCCTGACCCCAGCCCTCCTCCATCAGACATGGGAGTCCCCACCCCGCCCTCCTCCATCAGACACAGAGCTCCACCCCACACCCTCCTCCATCAGACACAGAGCTCCACCCCACACCCTCCTCCATCAGACACAGAGCTCCACCCCGCCCTCCTCTCAGCCAGCTGGCTCACATACCCATAAAAATGGCCTCGCACAAACTCCTGGATCCGTGCTTTGCTCTGAGCGTGAAGGTTCTGGAACTCGTGCATAGCAGAGAACTTCTTCACATTCAACCCGTTGGGGGTTACAATGTCTGGGATTGGGGGAGAAGGGCCCGTGTTTCCTTTCTTCCTTCTGATCAATGTCACTGATGACTAAAGGTCGGGGAAGTGACTTTCCTATCATAACTTCACTGTCCCATGCATGACCCCTTGGTAAACTCAGCTCCATATGGCTGAGTCAACGCTGCTACTGGCCCCTTCTTTACCTTTTATTAATTTTTAGATTCATCCCTTTTATTTGATATGCATGGGTGTTTTGCCTGCATACACGTCTGTATACCACGTGTATCTCTATTGCTTGTGGAGGCCAGAAGAGGGCGTCAGATCTCCTGGAACGGTGGCTGCTGGGGATTGAACCTGGGTCCCCCAGAAGAGCAGCCAGTGCTCATACACTCGGGCGAGCACACACATACATAAACTCCGGGTTCAATGAGAGACCCTGGCTGTAAAGGTGTTGGGGCAGGGGAAATGGCCAGGCAGTCCAGCCAGCTTCCTGCTCCTGCAGCGCCTACTTTAGGGGGTTAACAGTGCTGTAACTCCACCTCAGTCCTCTTCCACCCTCCGTAGCGCACACACACTCACTCACTCACACACACTCACACTCACTCACTCACACGGTCACTCACACACACACTCACTCACACGGTCACTCACACACACACACTCACAACAAATCAACAAAAAGTTACAGCCCATATTGGGACCTAGGGCAAAGTTTAGGAGCGTATTGGGTGGGATGAGCGAACCCAGGCCTTGCCTTACTTTATTAAAAAATAAAGCCCACTATACCTGCATTCCTTTCAAAAGATCGGCATATATCAGCCACTTGTGCGATTAAAGAAACTATAGCTCCCATTAGCTCTCAGGAGACAGGGTTGGCCAGCTTCATTTACAATTACCATCTCAACCCAGGACTTTTACTCCCGGTGGTAAAATAAAACCGATGTGGGGCCCAGCATAGAGTCTCCCCTTATTCCTGTGTAGAGAGCACAGCTCAGACCTGGCTTCCTCTTGAGGAGGTGCTGAGCCTCAATGGCGGTGATCTGGGACACAGTGGTGAAGACATGCGCACAGTGGGCAGCTGCGCGCTCCATGCAGTATCGGTGGTAGATCTGCCTCTCGCCGGCCTCCTTGTCCACATTGAACTGGGCGGGAAGGGGGAGTCAGGGTTTAGAGGACTGAGGTCTGTTCTAGGGCCCTGAGGAAGGTTGGGACTGGGCTGTTCTCTTGGGCTTCAGGGAGTAGGGTCTGCCGGTGTCTAACAGTGGAAGGAAGGGCTGGGAGCCTGTGCTCTTAGGAGCAGGACTCCCGGCCAGCGCTTTGGGCTCTTAGGACAGGACCCCCGGCCAGCGCTTTGTGCTCTTAGGAGCAGGACTCCTGGCCAGCGCTTTGGGCTCTTAGGACAGGACCCCCGGCCAGCGCTTTGGGCTCTTAGGAGCAGGACTCCCGGCCAGCGCTTTGGGCTCTTAGGACAGGACTCCCGCCAACGCTTTGGGCTCTTAGGACAGGACTCCCCGCCAGCGCTTTGGGCTCTTAGGACAGGACTCCCCACCAGCGCTTTGGGCTCTTAGGAGCAGGACGCCCCGCCAGCGCTTTGGGCTCTTAGGAGCAGGACGCCCCGCCAGCGCTTTGGGCTCTTAGGAGCAGGACGCCCCGCCAGCGCTTTGGGCTCTTAGGAGCAGGACGCCCCGCCAGCGCTTTGGGCTCTTAGGACAGGACTCCCGCCAGCGCTTTGGGCTGTCACGAATACTCATGTCTCCCATGCTTCCCGCTCACGTTCTCCAGGTTGTTGTAGAAGTCCACGGCTCCGGCACACAGGTAGCGCCCCAGCAGTGTGGCATGAGTGGTGAAGATGGTGGCCACCGGCAAACGCCGGGCGCGGCACAGACACAGACCAATGCCTGCCAACCACTCATGGAAGTGCGCGACAACATAGGGCTTCTCTTCGTTCTGGGCCAGGAACTGTGGGGCAATAAGGACGGGGTCACTATGTTTCCACACGGCCACAAAAGGAACCAGCAGTCCCCAGCACCGACGCACGGACCAGGAAACGGGAGAGGAGCCACACACAGGCACACAGCAGGCAGCCTTCCCACAGACGAGGTACTAAACCCTACACTGGGCCGACCGGCCGACCTCATCCCCAGAAGCTGATGGGAATTGGTTTGCTTGCCAAAGTCTGAATCCTGCTAAGTCTGAACTGGAAGGACCAACATGTCCATGTCCCTAAGTCCTGCTCACAGTTCCAGGAGCCTTGGTATTTCATCAACGGCGGTAGACTTTTTACGGGTAAAAAACAGGACCAAAACTCCTAGAACACTTTGAATCCAGTAGCTCCTGTTTGTCCTAGGGTGGTGCAATTACGTTTCCTAAAACTTTTAAAAGTCCTAGAATGGGGGGGGGCAGATTCCTGGTTCTGAAACCATAAACATCAAGAGGCCCCTCCCAGTGCTTCGATGTACTCAATAGCAACTAGAAACTCCCAGAATTCCTGTGGCTCAGCCCGCTACTGACAGGACTCCCTGGAGGCCATGCCTCAGTGTGTGCACACTTGGAAGGTTTCAGTAAGTGGAGCTGAGGTTGGCACTTCCGGTCTCTGAGAAAAGAAGCTAGACTCCTGGGCATTCATGTCCGCCCAAATCACAGTTGATCCTTGGGTTAAAGAACCCACAAGTCCAAGAATGCCCAGGGGAAGGCCACCCTCTGGCCCAAGAGGGGACAATAGTTTCAAGTCTGGGTAGAGAGGCTGAGGTGGGGTCGGTAGCAGGGAGGGCCTACCTCACCCAGGAACCAGGTGGTGAGGAACCCAAACAGGACGGCATCGTTGGCTTCACGGTCGTACCAGGGAACCCCGATATTGCAGGTGTCCCACAGCTCACCCTTCCAACGCTCCAGGGCCCAGGCTGAGGCCCCCACATCCAGGAGCACCACTAGGGGTCCCCCCTCGATCAACCAACGCCCAAAATACACCTAGGAGAGAGGCAGAGGAAGGCTCAGACAAGCTGGCCTTGTGTCTCACCCACCGCTCAAGCCCCCGAGCCTGGTAACTGAGCTCACACCCCTCGCCCGGCGCTCATCTGTGCCCGGCGTAACTGCCGCCTGCTACTCTTCTCCCTACCTGTTCTGTAACCTAACCAAGTCCTGTCTAACAGCCAGGACTGCGCTTTCCTACATTCTAAAACTCGATGTGCTATTCCAGTCCTCACCGGCCGGTTGTCCTCCCGAGCCTGCAGGTACAGGCCGTTGCTCTAGCCGATGGAAATGTTCCCGCCTCTGCCCCGACCTGGCTCGGTTCTGCCAGAGGCTCACTGGGGGGCCCCTCCCCCTCCCAGCTGTTGTCTGCCCTTTTGCTGGGCGGGGTCTATTATTAGGAACAGCTGCCCTGGGGGAGGGTTGTGGCAGCTCTGGGGTCCTGTAGGGACATGGTCTGGCCTGCCTGGATGCTGGAGCCCACCCCAAACAGACTGTGAACACTGCGTCTGTCTTCCAGTCCCTAATCTGTGTGTTAACTCTGCTGAGCCTCACAGCCCTCTCCCCCAGGAGTCAGATACATCTCTCTTAGGCTTTCTCCTTCTTACCTTCCTTCATTTGTTTTTCTCTTTGTGATTCTTTTCTTTCTTTTTGGCTTTTCAAGACAGGGTTTCCCTGTGTAGTCCTGGCTGTCCTTGAACTCACAGAGATCCACCTGCCTCTGACTCCCAACTGCATGGACTGACTCTTTGTGGTTCTGAACACTGAACACAGGGACCTTGCTTAATGGGGGCTCTGCCAAGCCCCAGCCCCAGCCCCCCTACTGCGGTATTCTAGGCAGGGGCTTCACCACTGGGCCACACCCCAGTCCCTCATTGGGGTATTGTAGGCAGGGGAATCTACAACTGAGCCACACCCCTTTCCTGATCTCTTAGGACCCGGGATCTGCTCATAGACTGTTTCCCTGTCTCTCCTCTCTTCAACATTCCATCCTTTTCCCTATCTGCTCTTTATTGATTTTATTTATTTGAAACAGCATCTTGTTACGGTCCAGATGCTGGGATTACAGGTGAGCACATGGCTCTGGGTAACTTTCTGTCTCCAGCCTGTTTCTACCCTGTGGTTCTGAGGACCTCCACTTACATCCGTCTGGTCTTTCACAGACATTCGGCACCCACTGACCCATCTGTCACTTTCTTACCCAGGTCTGCTGGGGACGTGCTACCCATTGCTACCCAGCATGCCTCTGGCTTCCGGTCTACCTTCCGCCACCTGTTGTTAGACCCTGCTGGCAGGCAGGCTCCCTCCCCTCCCCCCGCCCCCTGGGCAGCGCTGTGTCCCACCTTGCAGCCCTTGCTGTTCATGGAGTCCAGAGTCCTCTTCAGTTCAGGCGTTGGGGGCTCCAGGAGCTCCACCTGGGTCCGCACGCCCTGCTCCGTGTAGGGTCCCACCAGATAGTAGTTGTCACCCCACTCGTCCCCCGTCACCTTCGCCTTGGTCTGCAGCACAGTGTAGATGCCGCCCACTGCGGGCCAAAGTACAAAAGGACAGACAATCCCACCACTGGCCCACAGCTTTGAGACGACACACACACACCACACACACACACACACACACACACACACACACACACCACACACACACACACCACACACACACACACACACACACACACACACACACACACACACACACACCACACACACACACACACACACACACACACACAAAAGACAGGCTCGCGCCCACATTTGGGGATCAGAGAAGGTAGGGGGAGGGGCTTGGGCCATGGAAAGCAGACTGAGGGCAGCCCTCCTGGATCTACTGGAGAAAGTGGGCAGAGATGAGGATTCTGGGGGAGGAGCAGGCTCCAGGTAGACTCTCGGCCCAGGGACAGGAAGGGCTCCTAGTCTAAGGGAATTAGGGGCTGGAAGAAGGGTTGGAGACCCAGGTCTAATGCTCCCAACTTTCAGACACGGTGGGGAGAATGGTATATGGCTTCATCCAGCTTCCCACAGTTACCTAAGGGAAGCTGTGGTTAACATTCGTCACCTGCAGGGGCCCCGGGCGCTGACTCAGGGCTGGGGCACAGGCCCTGGCCCTCCTGTGACCCCATCTCAGAGTTAGGAATCTGGGTCCTCAGCTTTTTACCCGAAACCAGTACCCTGGCAGTTCACAGACTGAGTCTGCCAACTCCACCACGCTAGGAAATCCAGAGTCCTTCTCCCTCAAGATCCGGAAAATGAAACACGCAGATTCACGCAGCCCAGCCTTCTCAGGAGTGAGAGGCTAGTGGTCCTGGACTCCCATACACAACTGTGTGCTGTAGGTTCCTCCCATCCCAGGGCCCGGACCCTGACCAACTCAGGACTTGCAGCATTCCCATTCCAGTGTGCCAGAGGCCGGCCACAGGAAGACACCTCTCCACTTAGGAAGCCACGGCTAATGCCTGGGCTCCTTCACATGGGCTCCTTCAGGTTCCCAACCATTTCCCATCTTGAACCTAAGGATTCGAGTCTCTAGGCCCCCCTCATCTCTACACTAAAGTGGTCAGGTCCGCCACGCTCCCTAACAATCCACGAATCCTAACTTTTAGTCACATCCTCTGGACCTCCGGTGCTCCCCCCCGTGTCCCCCGCCCCCACCCCGGTTAGACGCATGAGCGCTTTTCCCTTTTGGGTCCCAGGTCTCTCGGCCCTCGAAAACCTCCCTCCAAGATCCAGGAATTTTTCTCTGAGTGCCCTCTTCCCTACATCGCAGGACCTGTGGCCTCCTTCCATCTTAAGAGTAGTCTCTTGTCCCTTCCCCCCCAGGGCCTAGGACGCCTAGTCCTGCCCCTCCACAAGGACACAGAAGTCACAGGCGCTTTTCACAGGACCCAAGCGTCCCCCAGCCCCCACGTAGCTCTGCGCCCTTATGAATCGGTTTTGGGACCCCCATCCTCGATTGCCCTCGGCGGTGAAGGGGCCGAGGCTGGCGTTCTCACCCTTGTTGGCCACCTCCCAGGCCACCTCGAAAAGCACTGTGTTCTCCGGGTCGAACTCATCCTCCCAGTCTTCCAGTCCTGGAAGCGAGGACATGGACAGACTGCGGCTGAGAGGCATGGCTGCTAGGAGCGGGGGACTTCGAGCACCAAAAATGGAAACCGGAGAGGTCGGCTGGGACTGCACCAGACTTGGTGACGGGCCGGCTTAACGGGTGTCCCACGGGAAGCTTGCAAAGCGCTCCTCTTCCTATTGCGCGACCGCACCCCCGCGCCGCAGCGCTCCGACTCAGGTAGGCAGCGCGGCGACACTGAGTTGGGCGGGCAGCTGCAGTGGAGCCTCGTGGCCGCCAGGAGGCACTGCCCGCCCTGCTGGTCTAGCACGATTGGTCGGCGTCTAGGGGGCGGACTGCGGCGTCTTCTTATTGGCGGGTGGGATCCAGTTTCTCCGCCAGACCCCCGGGGATCTGGAAGGGGGCGGGGCTTGTTGCTGCGCAGCGCAGAAGTAATTGGTGGACAGAACTGTCAGTCTCAGCTGCGGGAGGAAGGGTGGCTAGAGAGGAGAGAGATCGTGGAGGACGTGTGGTTGCTGCTAAAAGTGTTCGGAATTTTGCAATCGGACTTAGCGGTTGGGGAGGGGGTGAGGGGCTGGGCAAAAGAAGGAGGAGCAGGAAACGTCAAGAACACGCCCAGGACTTGAGACACCCGCCTTCCAATTTAGCCTCCGGGGCGGGCGCGGCCTAGTGTACGCCCCCAGCAGAGTTTTACATGTTTTATGAACGAACCATAGAGACAACTGGATGACCGGGGAGCCTAGAGAGGACGAAGGCCGCTCCTAGCCGATTTCCGTTTCCGCCGGGGCACTGGCGGTTGGTGTGCATCATGGCAACTGTGGTGAGTGTTGGGTGCATGTGGAGAACTGAGAGCGAGCCTCGTGTGCAGTGAGAAGGAGGCGGCTGGAGAGGACTCGGGTCTGCAGGATGATAAGGAGGGTGCCTGGCTTAGAAGGAGGAGGGACCGCGGGTTCTCGAGTCTGCGGAGGAAGCTGAGGACGAGCCTGGGTCTCAGGACGAGATAGGAAGAGGATGCTTGTGTCTGGGGGAGGAGAGCAAACGAGGAGGCGTGGGTCTGGAGGAAGAGGGCTTCTCGGGGGGAGTCTGCAGAGGTCTGGGGGGGCTGCAGCGGACTCCCTGAGCCCGAGTGAGGACTGGGCGTGAGGTCTCGGGGAGGGCCGGCGAGGGTGCTGAAACAAAAGGAAGAGGACTGCCTGGGTCTGAAGGAAGAGGCAGGGGAAAGCCTTAGAGCCGGAGGGAGCGGGCAGCTGTGCATAAGAAGTAGGCCGCGCTAGGCGGTGGTGGCGCTCGCCTTTAATCCCAGCACTCGGGAAGCAGAGGCAGGAGCATCTCTGTGAATTGAGTTGGAAGCCAGCCTGGTCTACACAGCGAGCTCCAGGACAGTCAGGGCTACACAGAGAAACCCTGCCCAGAAAAAAATAAATACATAAATAAAAAGAACCCTAAGTGCGATGGACGAGGCCTGTGGGGACTCAGATTTCTTCTTTCTCACACATGCACGCGCTCATAGGATACCCAGATACCCGTGAGTGAGTAAGCAGCAGCCTGGGCTGCAGAGTCCTGGCTCATCCCCACGTCAAGTCGCAGAAGCGGCCAGTTCCGCAGGCTTTTGTCCCCGTGTCCTGTGAGGATGGGAGGCTGGCACCCTGAGCTCTGGGGGCAGAGGGTGAGCCTTGCTGTGAGCTTGAGAGCATTTTCCCGAACCTCATACCAGGCACATGTCTGTGTGAACGCACAACCATTTGGACGATAAAACGAGCAAGTAAACGCCAGGAAGTGAGTGAGACCAAACACTCTGGGCCTGCCATCTGCCCCCCAGAGTTCTGGTGCCCTCGGTTCCGCTGTTGAGCCCAGGCAGGTTGTAGGAAGCCAGTGGAGAGTCCGTTGCTGTTACCATGGTGAGGAAGCCGGTGGAGAGGTGGGAGGGAAGCGCCTCACTGAAGCTCGGTCCTTCACGGGGAGAGGCGCCTGGCTGCCGGCCAATGCTAGTTGTCTTTTTCTACTCTTTGGTCACATATGGCACAGATGCAAGGCTTCAGCTACATTTAGGCTCAAGGAAAAGCTTGCCTCAACATTTTAAAGTTACTTTTCAACATATTTTAAATTTATTGTTTGTGTATGAGCTTGTATATGCACCATGTACTTTCAGTGCCTATGGAAGGCCAGGAAAGGGTATTGGATCTCCTGGAACTAGAATTATGGATATGAGCTACCACGTTGGGACCAAACTTGGATCCTGTACAAGAGCAGCAAGTGTTCTTAACCACTGAGCCAGCTCTGCGGCCCTGTGTTTTATTTTTATTTGATGGATGTTCTGCCTCTGTGTGTGTGTGTGTGTGTGTGTGCGCGCGCGCGCGCGCGCGTGTGTGTCACATGCATGCCCGGCTCCCACAAAGGACAGAGGAGGGACTGGAGCTGCAGATGGGTGTAGTTGCTGGGAATTGAACCTACCTGGATCCTCTGGAAGAGCAGCTGTGCTCTTAACCACTAACCTATTTCTTTAGCCCTTGGTTATAGCTGGAAACTGAACCTAGGTCCTCTACAAGAGGAGTAAAGGAACACTTCTAAGCCCTGAGCCATCTCTCTAGCCCCTAAATTGTATTTTATTTATTTTCTGTGTATGTGTGTCTGTGTAGGTGGCTGCTTACCAGTTCACATATGCACATCAGAGGATAACTTGCAGGGGTGGTTTCTCTCATTCCACCGCATGGGTCCCAGAAATCGAATTCAAGTGGTCAGATTTGGAGGCAGGCACCTTTACCTGCTGGTGTCCTCAGTCTCCACCAGCACACCTCCCCTTGGAGGCTTCATTGTCACTCTGACCTGGACTCCTGAGGTCATTCTCTCTTTTCACCTAGGCTCCATTTTCTGACCAGGGCCCTCAGATTGCCAGGAACCACTGGGACAAAGGTCTTACAGACTATGGCAACCTCCAAAGCCTCGTGACAGATCCACAGCCTTCACATTTTGGGGGTGATATGTATAGAATTCTAGCTCCTCCTCCAGGGCATAGAGGCATTTCTTCCTGAGCCCCATTTGGGCACCTGGGAGCCAGCACAACTGGATCTGAGTTCCAAGGGTGTAGCCGGCATGAGCACATAGTAGCCTTTGGTTTTCTTGGTGCCTCAGTGTTAACCTGGGATTCTTCCTCCAGGGTCTTCTGGGCTGTCTGTTGTCTTGGATGTGTGTCGAAGGCGGGAGTTGTAGTTGGTGTTTACAGCGATGTCACTAACGACTTCGTCCACAGCACAAGCGTGACTCAGGCCATGCTTGCTTCCTTGGTCACTTCTCCGTGATGGCAAAATGCCTGACAAAGCAGCATAGGAAGGTGGTGGCACCTTCACTCCCAGCCTGGGCTACACAGAGAGACCCTGTCTCAGAAACAAACAAACAGACAAAAGCAACTTGGAGATGAAAAGCTTTGTCTCATCTCAGCAGCCTGGAGTTCACCCAGAAACTGAAGCAGAGGCCGTGGAGGAACGCTGCCCATTGGCTTGCTCCCCTTGGCCGGCTCAGTCTGCTCTCATACAGTCCAGGACTGCCTGCTGGGTGGCGAGCACTGGCCACAGTGAGCTGGGTCCTCTCTCATCAATTGTCAATCAAGAAAGTGCCCTCTGTGTAACAATCCCTGCTCTCTGGGCCTCGATCTGTAGACCAGGCTGGCCTCAAAGTCACTCACAGAGATCTGTCTGCTTGTGCCTTCCAAGTGCTAGGATTAAAGGTTAGTGCCACCACCGCCTGGCCCCAAGGAGGCAGTTTCTTAATTAAGACTCTAGCTTGTGCCGGGCGTTGGTGGCGCACGCCTTTAGTCCCAGCACTCGGGAGGCAGAGGCAGGCGGATCTCTGTGAGTTCGAGGCCAGCCTGGTCTACAGAGCGAGTTCCAGGACTGCTTCCAAAGCCACAGAGAAACCCTGTCTCGAAAAACCAAAAAAAAAAAAAAAATTCTAGCTTGTGTCAAATTAACCTAAGACCAAAACTGACCAGCATAGAAGGGGTTACTTTATGGGTCACAGTTGGAGGTCATACAGGCCCTTGTGACAGTAGGAGCCCAACACAGCGTCACATTGCATTCTCAGTCAGGAAGCAGCGTGCGGCCAGATGCTGGTGCAGGCTTAGGAAGGGTCTTCCCATTTTACCCAGTCTAGAAAGTCCCTCACAGACATGCTCTGGTTTGTTTCCGTGGTCATTTTACGCTCCATTAAGATGAAATGTCCCAGGATGGAACCCAGTTACTCACAGCAAGGGCGTTTGTGTGGCAGTATGCAGAACTGACCTTGTAGAAGGCAAACTGTCAGGAGAGTTGGACTTCTTGGATGCGTCTCTTTGCTTGCTTGCCGAAGAGCCTTTGTGGAATAGTAGTGTGGGGTCTTACGCTTCTGTAGTGCAGCCAGCCTCCTCAGAGAGTAAATTGGAAGGACTGCATAGTGAGAGACAGGCCGTAACAGCCATAGAGTACCCTGGAAGACCTGTTCAGGGAGGAGGCATGCTGAGCATTGTGGTTTCTTAGGTAAAAATATGACAGATGAGCCGGGCGTTGGTGGCGCACGCCTTTAATCCCAGCACTCGGGAGGCAGAGGCAGGCGGATCTCTGTGAGTTCGAGACCAGCCTGGACTACCAAGGGAGTTCCAGGACAGCCTCCAAAGCCACAGAGAAACCCTGTCTCGAAAAACCAAAATAAATAAATAAATAATATGACAGATGTGCAAGGGTCCACTATCTGGATACTCTTGCTTCACTCCGTAGCTTGGGTAGCCCTGGGTTTAAAGCACTCCTCCTGACTGAGCCTCTGCAGTGGTTACAGACATGCTTCTTATCAGGCACCCCATTGTTCCCACACCTCCCTCCCTAAGCCTTTGGCAACTGTTGCTTTCTATTCCTGGACTTATCTCTTTTGGATTCTACATATAAGAGTCATTCAACATGCAGGCTTTTTAAAATCATGTTTCATTTTATGTGTGTGGCTGTTTTGCCTCCTTGTATGTCTGTGTCTATAACTAGAGTTACAGACAATTGTGAGCCACCACATGTATGCAGGGCACTTAGTCGAGGCCCCGGGAAGATTAGCAGCGAGCACGCCTGACTGCTGGTCCCGCCTGCCGTCTCTGTAGAGCGCGCGCCCCCCCTTCACTTGGCTAGTCGGTGATCTCCCAGGGCGTGTCAGTGTAGGCCTCACTCCTGTATCGCTGAATAATATCCCACAAATGCACCGACCATCCTGCTTGTTCACAGTGCTCACTGAGCACGTGGGTGTGTGTGGC